ATTTGACAGGTCGGAGGCAGTGTGCCACACCTTGGAGGGGCCACGGCCAAAATGTTCCTGTCGAACGACTGTTGGCAAAGACCCAACCGAAACCGAGCCGCGCGATTGAGCACTAAACTTTCAAACGACTGCAACGAATGTGAAATGAGGAATTTTGATGCGGTCGGTTGAAAAATAACGAACAAATGGAACGAGTGAGTAAGTATGTGTTTATTTCAAGTCTATATAGACTTGTATTGAACCAACATATGTGTTATTTACCTTTTATTTTTGAAATAGATACTTTGGATAACGATATGAGTCAAGTATGTTTTTTTTTACCTATATGTATCTAATAAACAAAACTTGATACTTTTATTGATAGCTTTAAATATGTACAGGGTGTTTCAAAACTTTCAACTACTTTGCTTTCATTTCATGAATGTTCTTTTGTTTTATTATTACATCAAAAATAAGATGATGTTAAAAATTAGGAAGTAGATAAGGATAATAATAATAACTCTATTTGTCATCACTTCAATAACAACTGTTGATAAAATTGTATTTAATAAAAACAGTACAATGGAAATTAGTGATACCGAATCTAAATTGAATCATTAAATTTGTCTAAATCACTTGAGTTATCTGTATTAATTAGCATATTTAGTTATTGAATAAGAGAATGTCCAAATAATAAAGCTAAAATTAACTGATATACACTCAGCGGCATAAAAAACGCATCACCTAAAATGATGACCAGTTTCAAACTGCAATAACTTTTGAACTTTTTGAATGCCTTTAAAGTCTTGTAGAAGTTGCTCAGGGAGTGGTTTTGGTGGAAGATGAACTCAGCACTCGTTATGCTGCTCGTTTTCTTGGCGCAAATTGAAAAGTGGTTCTACTTATCGCAAAATAAACACTCACACTACATCACGCTGGACTAAGCAGAACCAGAAAGGCACTGTAAAAGCAAACGGTTCATAACTAAGCCACACCACGCTATGACAGTGCCAGAGAATAATATTTCAACGGCTAAATAGGACTCTGGCCTTTTGTTTATAAAGAACCTGCAAAAAGAAACAGCAAGAACCGGGCGAGATGAACAATGGTGACCAAAAAAATCGAGTCTATAGCAGAATGCAAAAAGATGATTATCGATAACGTTTTACCAGTCATTACAACCAAGACAATTTGTGTTCAACAAGATTATGCAAAACAGCATTCTTATAAAAACGATGCAGAATTGCTGGCCGAAGGATCAAGAGATGGATGGTGTATTAAATTCAAATCACAGCCGAATAGTCCTGATTAGAATGTTTTAGACCTTGGTTTCTTCAATGCTATTCAGTCTTTGCAGCACCAAACATTGCCAAAAACTATGGATGAATTAATAGATTGCGTTGAAAGTGCCTTCGACGCATTAACTAAAGAAAAATTAGATAACGTATTCTTGACACTACAAAAGTGCATGGAGTCAACCATAAGGACCTATAAAAGGAGGCAGCAACTATAAAATTGAGCACATGAATAAAGAAAAATTTCGCCGTGAAGACCGTTTACCTGTTTCTATTATGTGCAACCAACTGCCATTGAAACAGCTGAATTGTGTTTAAATGTGTAAAATTTTCATTAATGTATGTATTAATGTATTGTAATTTTACAAATACAATAAAGCAGTTTTCAAAGTTTTGTATACCATAATTTAGGACAAAGGGAGTAACAATTTTTGTTTTAAGCTTGATAAAGCGAATCATAGTCGCATTAAAATATACCAGATTTTAATAAATATTAATAATGATCGGAGCAAAATTATTTTGCATAATAAAATATTAATCAAATAAAAAAAAGAAGAACAAAAAACTGATAAAAATAGACAGAATATAATATTAAGTACAATAACGCATATTTCATTACACATTTTTCTTTAAATTCTAAATATCAGGAAAACTATTAAAGTTAGACATATGACATACTTATCATTAATTAAAGGGAACTTGAAGAGCAATTCAAGTAGCACACAACACGCAGGCTGTTCCATTTAAAAAAACTTAAGAAAAAGTCATTTGAAAAACATCAAAAGTAACTGAGCTTTTTAAACAGCTTGTATATTTTATCTAATATCTTTGAATACCATCATCTATCTACTGTCTTTGACTATTGTCTGACGTAGTTTGAAGACAAAATCGGAAAAAATGTCATTTTTAAATAGATCCTGTCTGTAATGGGCACATTTTGGAAGAACAATTGAATATCTCAGGAACTATGAACGCTGTGAAATAGTAACATATACGGTTGTATAAACAAATTTAGTTGTTTTCATAATATGATAAAATATACAGACAGTTCCATTTAAAAATGTACTCTCCGTTACGCTTAAATGGTGAACTAAGTGAAAATAATTTTACGTAACAGAAAGTCATGAGTCAAACAACTTTTGTATCGACCGCCGGGATACTAATAATTCACCCTGTATAAGATCTTGATAGCAGAATATACACGCTGTAGAAGTCCACTAATATGTCTCCTGAATCTCAGGGTTTTCGCAGTGGGCATAGTACAACTACTGCCCTCATTAAAGTTATTGATGATATTAGGTATGCCTGCGACAACAGATGTGTTACTGTGCTAGTACTGCTCGATTTCAGCAAGGCTTTTGATTCTGTTGACCACAGCCTTCTTTTAGCGTCTCTTTCTGCCTACGGATTCATTCCCCCCTGTGTTTCTTGGTTTCAATCCTACCTTTCCCATCGCTCCTTGTGCGTACGCGCTAACTCTTCAATTTCTTCTGCTTGTGCAATCAAATGTGGTGTTCCTCAGGGCAGTGTATTGGGTCCGTTACATTTATCTTTGTTCGTTAATAATGTTACTAATTATATCTCGTGTAATTATCATTTGTATGCTGACGACCTCCAGATATATACTACTACAACTGTTGCTGAATTTTCGGCAGCTATTGTGCGACTTAATAACGATCTATCTAACGTCTTGAACTGGTGTCGGAGATACGGACTTAAGTTGAACTCAGTTAAAACGCAAGCTATTGTGTTTGGAACTCGTCAATTACTTGGTAAGATTAATCCATCTACCTGCAGTGATCTGATGCTGAATGGTAATGGCATACGGTTTTCTAACATAGTTAAAAATCTTGGAGTCCTTATGGATTCTGCAGTGTCTTGGAAACTGCAAATTCAACATGTTTGCAGAAAAGTCTATGCTTGCTTCCACTCTTTAAAAAGACTTCGCTGCTCTCTTCCTCCTGTGGTGCGTCGTAATCTTTGTTACTCACTTATATTTCCTCACTTCGACTATGCGCACGTGGTTTATCTCTCGGTGACTCTTCTGAATAAATTGCAGCGGCTACAAAATAATTGTATCCGGTTCATATTTGACCTAAATAGATTTGAGCATGTAACGCCGTATTGCAATTACATTCAGATGTTAACCTGTTAGAGACGTAGATCCTTTCGTTTATTAACCATTTTATTTAAAATCTTTCATAACTGCACCCCAAAGTACTTATCAGATAGATTCCAGCAATTATCAACTCATGAGCTTGCTACTCGTTCACGTTCTGATACTATTCTTACATTTCCCGTTCATAACACTGAAATTTATCATAGATCATTTACAATACAGTCGATTGCGCTGTGGAATGGACTGCCTTCTGAAATTCGTAATATTTCTAGAATTACTAATTTTAGACATGTTTTAAAGAGCCAGTTGCTTTTTCCTGATTCTTTGCTCTTTGTCTTTTTTCTTCTTTTCAACTGCCCTCGCTTGTTGGCAACTGAGATTCTTTTGGTTTCTTTTAGCCGCTCTCTATCTCTCTTTTCGTGTCTTTTCTTTTCTTGCTTAATCTTATTTGGTGATGTTAATAATATCTAATTATCACTACTTGCCATATTCAGTAAATATTATTTTTATTTTTGTTTGTTCTGTTGGGTCATTTGGCAGAGATCGCTTGTGCGATAAAATGATCCATTTGCTGATACTGCTTACTGTTTAAGTTAAGTGTATCTTATGTAATTTTGTATTTTTNGACGCGGTTTATCCCGATCTCTCGGTGACTCTTCTGAGTAAATTGCAGCGGCTACAAAATAATTGTATCCGGTTCATATTTGACCTAAATAGATTTGAGCATGTAACGCCGTATTGCAATTACATTCAGATGTTAACCTGTTAGAGACGTAGATCCTTTCGTTTATTAACCATTTTATTTAAAATCTTTCATAACTGCACCCCAAAGTACTTATCAGATAGATTCCAGCAATTATCAACTCATGAGCTTGCTACTCGTTCACGTTCTGATACTATTCTTACATTTCCCGTTCATAACACTGAAATTTATCATAGATCATTTACAGTACAGTCGATTGCGCTGTGGAATGGACTGCCTTCTGAAATTCGTAATATTTCTAGAATTACTAATTTTAGACATGTTTTAAAGAGCCAGTTGCTTTTTCCTGATTCTTTGCTCTTTGTCTTTTTTCTTCTTTTCAACTGCCCTCGCTTGTTGGCAACTGAGATTCTTTTGGTTTCTTTTAGCCGCTCTCTATCTCTCTTTTCGTGTCTTTTCTTTTCTTGCTTAATCTTATTTGGTGATGTTAATAATATCTAATTATCACTACTTGCCATATTCAGTAAATATTATTTTTATTTTTGTTTGTTCTGTTGGGTCATTTGGCAGAGATCGCTTGTGCGATAAAATGATCCATTTGCTGATACTGCTTACTGTTTAAGTTAAGTGTATCTTATGTAATTTTGTATTTTTATCTGTGGCAATAAATGGTAAATAATAATAATAATAAAATAGCGTAAATGGCAGATGACAGTTGTTTCACCAATATGTCGCTATGATCTTTCCAATTGACTGTTACTGAACCATTCAGCAGCCTCTTTCAGAGCACAAGCTACAGCTGTTCTGACCGGGTTCCACTTTCTATGTAGGTTGATGACACAAACTTAGGACTTTTTTAAGCGCTAAACAAACATTTTTGGTTGCCCCAATTATAATAACATTGTTTTGCAATTACTCTGTTTTATTGAATCTCATGAATACACATTGAACTAAAGAACACAAAACATCTAAATACATATTTTATAGACGAGACAAGCAAAGACAGGTATTTGATAATTAAAGTCTAATTTAAAATGAAATTATTTTAAAGTTCAATAATGACAAGTGTTTATAATGATTAATTTGTTTTCAATATCTTCGTCTTTTAGCTTGATAATCGCGATCATTAGACCATTGACCACGACCTCTATGACCTCGTCCGCCACCCATATTCGGTCCATCGTCTCTAGAATCATAATTTCTGTAATCACCAGATCCCATAAAAGGTTTATTATCAGAAGAATTTGAACCCATATCATTTCGGTTATTGAAATTTTCTTCTTGGCTATTAAGCATATTATCCAATTGTTGAGCTTGCATAAATAAACTGTTTTCTTGTTGGCGACGTCTCATCTCTTCTTCTTGGTGTATGATCCTCGATTGTAATTCTTCTTCTTGCCGTCGCATTTGTTCTTCTGTACGTCGTCGATTTTCTTCTGCTTGTTGTTCGCGAATTTCCCACTCGCGTTTTTGTCGATCCATATCCATTTCTCTGTCGCGTAATTGTTTACGTAACATTGCAGTTTCGTGTTCGTATCGAGCAAATTCCATTTGAGCGACAAGTTTTTCTTGTTCGATTTCATTTTCTTTTTTTAACGCTAATAATTTCTGTTGGTAAAGGTCGTTTAATTGTTTCCAATGCATTCCGTATTCTTCTTCGAAACTGTTTGGTGCTCCAAATCGTGGCCCCACGTTTCTTTGTTTGAAGAATTCGGGATTTTTTTTAACGAATTTTTCCGAGTATCCGTCGCAATCGTCTTGAGGTTCGTAAGCTTCGACGATGACGGGGCGTAAATTTGCGGTTAAAAAGAAACAATCTTCGGTGCATTTTCGAATTGCTAATTGTGCAGATGGTTTTCGTGCAAATTCGACGACTCCTTCTCCAATTGATTTTCCCCGATCATCAGCTATAACGACACATCGTTCGATTTCTCCAAAAATTGAAAATGCAGCTTGTAATAACTCGTTTGTGACATATTCGTCTAAGTTTTTAACTCGAACGCTTGCACTAAACGGTGCAAATCGAACTTTTAATGATCGATTTTTAATTGATTTCCCGTTTAAATCATTTTTAGCTTTTTCCGCGTTAAAATGATAATCAAGTTTGATAAACCCGAAGTTTTTTTCTTTATTTATAAATAAATCACGAGTCTCGCCATATTCGTTAAATAATTCTTGTAATTCGGATTCTTCCAACTCGTTTGGAATATTTCCTACATATAAACGATTTCTATTTGAGAATTTTTTCTCTGTCGAATCTATGGCGGGTAAATCAAAAGAAGGGCCACTTATTTCGTTTAATCGTTCATACATAATCCTTTCGGAGAGTGGCCTATGATCTCCTTGCCCACCAGAACCGCCTTTTTGAAATCTACCACCTTTTCTATCGAAATCTTTTCCTTGATTTTGGTTTTGCCGTCGATTCTGGAAACGGCCACCTCGTCCTCCTCGCCCACCACCCCCAGAACCTCCTCCGCCGCCACCACCACCTTGGTGATGAAAAGCTTGGGGTTTACGTTCTTCGCTTTGTTGTTGATCAACATTTTCAGTTGAACTTTCCACTTTAGCACCAGTCGTATCGGCCGACATGATTTATTAACTAAAAACGATTAAAATTAGTGAGAATTGACTTAAAATGGGAAAATAATTCGGGTTTGATTTAAAAAAGTTTTGGACTTACCGTGGCTTGTTGGATGAAGTGGCGTCAAAATGGCGTGTTATTAACCGAATAACGCTTTGGTTTGGGCGGCGAATTCATGAACTAAAATAATTAGGGTTAAGAATAACTAACATTTATTTAAAACATTAAAATGATAAATTATTCACCATTGAAAATATCGTTGAATATTATTTAACACAAATTAGAAATTGTTAGTTTTATAGCGTAAAATAAAAAATTAATTCTTAAATTAGTTCGGATTAAGAATAACAGATGGCGCTTTAATAAATTGTCCAATTCAAATAGCAAAAAATTTCAAAAAACGTCAATTTAATTCAATTTTTTAGGAGTTTCTAAAGGTTTGATATTAAAATTCCATTTTTGGTATGATTTAAGCAGAAATTAATTAATTTTCGTAGAAAAACGACGTTTTATAAAATTGACATTTAATTTTGACAAATTGTTGTGAAGTTGGTTACAGTTAGTAATATTGAATTTGTGTCACATTCAAACTTTATTCAAAAATTTATTTAAACAATAAATTTATTGAATCAATTTCATCGACATAAACTCATTATATGTTCATATAATATAATATACTATTAATGAACAAAAAAAACTATAGACTTAAAAATAATCAAACTTTAATTTTTCTTAAAAAAAAAAACACTTAGTATTAATTATTATCACTAATATAAAAAGTTTGTCAAAAAACAGTCATGACGACGGTGACGGCGTCTTCCTTATAAAATCATTGACCTGAGTAGTGAAACGATGATTAGAGTCAAACACCACCCCCAAATTTCTTGCCTCTGGAGACACAACCAGTCGCTCAATGAGACATTGACGTTATGAGATGGTAAATTGCTAAAGGTAAGTAATTATTGTTGATTTGGTTGCATTAAGAGTTAGTTTATTTTGACGGAGTACTCCGAGAGTGCTAAAAAGTCTGCGTTTAATTTTGTACATGACAAGGCAGTGTGCTCTCTTCGAAAAGTCAAATACAGCTGAATATCATCAGTATACATCTGTACTGACGAGTGTTTGACACATTTGGGCAGTTGAGAGGTGTACAGAGTAAATAGTAGCGGAGCTAACGAAGATACTTGAGGCACAACAGCCTCCACGGGTAAGGGAGCCGAATATTCCTTATCCAATCTTACTACCTAAACTCGACCAGATAAGAAGCTGTTTATAAGAGACTGCCGAATCAGATATACCAACATAATGCAAGATGGATAACAGTATTCGGTGGTTGACTTTGTCAAAAGCTTTGCTGTAATCTAGGAGCACTATCACTCCACTCTGACCATCATCGTGAGCCTTCAAGAGATCATCAGTGACGTTTAATGACACAATTATAACTGCTTCTAAGACATTGGAAAGAACTGGAAGAATACTGATAGGACGTAGGTCCTCGAAATTCATCACTTATTTAGGTAAGGGTATTATAACAGCAGACTTTCAGGCATCAAGAAATAATAAAATAACGAGTGTTTGAATTTCAACTGATTCTGCGAAGCTGTTATTTTTTTTGCCGCTCTACTTATCTTTACAACACACAAAATACAGTTTGATATGAGATTGATTTCTTTAACTTTACACTAAATTGCCAAAGAAAACTTCAAGGTATAATTAATGTTTGTAAACAAAACTAACCTTATCTAACATTCCTTCACGCTATAATTGACATTACAAAAGAAAACTTCACGCTATAATTGCCATTACTAATTGCCAAAGAAAACTTCATGGTATAATTAATGTTTGTAAACAAAACTAACCTTACCTAACATTCAGCGTCTGAAGACACAGGGCTAAACCCGAAACTTAAAAATATACAACTTAGCGCTGAATAACAATTAAAACTAGAACTAACACTTGCACTAGAACTATACTCTGTTTTTAAACCAGGAGGAGTAAATGCGAAAGTCAGATTTACACTGGAAAAAATCACCAGAAAATATCACTAGATATTTTGGCGGTAAAATAAATTCTTTCTATATGTAAAAGTAATTACAATCTGCGGTCAATAGGCAGAGTCTAGATTGGCATCTGCCATCTGTTCAATTCAACCTAGAGTTGAGAACGACTAATAATTCCCTATATAACCTTCCAATAAATAGATAACAGTCCAAGGTCAGAAGCAGCATTCTTCATCTTTAAAAATTGCTTTATTCAAATTAAATTATCACATTTTAATATAAATAAAAAGTAAATTATCTACATTAAATTAATAAATCTAGTTATACTTCTAAAGATAATATAATTTCCCTTAACGCCTCTTTAGATTTATTTTCGCTAAATCTTTCCAAAGCTTTTAAAGCTTTTTGGCTAAACTCTTTTTGTAGTTGTCTCGTATCTTCTAAAGCGGAACTCTTCTTTATTTTTGTACAAATATACCCATAGTTTAATTCGTTTTCTTCGTAAACCATCTCTTCGATTTCGTTATAAAATTTCGGATCGTATTGTAAATGGAATAAAATCGGTGCACTGACTAAACTTATTTTTTGATTGTTGTAAGTGTTTTCGTATTCTCGTCCGGCTTGTAACGCCAAAGCTAAATTTCTTCCAAAAAGGTACCCGTTTTCAACAAATTTGTGTTCATGTTGTCCTAATTTTAAAACACCTTGGCATGATTTACCCAAAAGAGTCCCTCCAGATAACAAAGCATGTAATGTCCACTCTGATTTAGCATTCCCCATAACATTTTCGAATGGGATCGGATCGGTTCCGAATGATTCTTGAATTTCAATTGGTTTTAATGTTTTGTTGGGCCTAGCTGGTAAGGAGCGGTTTTGTTTATCTTTTGGACCAAGAAATTCTTCTTCGGCTAAATCTCTTAATGCTGATGACATTAATTCATTTAAAGAGTGGTTTTTCATACTTGCTAATTCATGGTAACTTTTGCTTAAAAGGTAATCGCCGCATAATAAAGCTATTTTGTTACCAAAATTCATATCTTCTGCGTGTTCCGTGTTTATAGTAACATTTATTATGCCTTTATGCAATAAATTGCTTGTTCTAATCATTTCTGTGACTTCAGCTAAAATTCTTTGATTATGTAAAATACCGGCGGTTACATCTTTATCAATTGCTCTAAATTTTTCGTGTTGACCGCCGGCTTTTGCTACTAAAAGTACAATTAATCCCCAAGAAGGGTTTTCTGTGTTCATTAATAAATCTCTAAATCAAAAAAAATAATTAATTTTATGTTAAGATCAATTTTTGGGGAAATTACTTAGCTATTGATAATAAAGGATGATTAGTCCCAAGTAGCTTTCTTAAATGCAAAGCTACATTAGCAACTTCATCACTTAATAACCATCTTAAATTTAAAAAAGAAGTTGGATAACCGATTACTTTCTCGGCTTCCGCCACTGATTTGTTCCAATTATTATGGTCAACTTTAAGCTTTTCATTAATCGAGGATAAAGTTGAAAGGTTTGCGCAACGTTTTGAATAATTAAAAGACGTGTGAATCGATTTTCTTAACGAATTCATTCTTGTATAAACGTATTTAACGAATTAATTGTAACATTCTATAAAAAAATCAATAAAAAGATTGCTTTTAGGTTAGAACATTAAAAAAAAATGAAAACTGAAACAATAGAAAAAAAATAATTGAACACGCAGTATACGAGCAAACTTAACCCTACTTTTTAAACCAAAGAAAAACTTACCTCGTGATTATTAATAAACCGGATAAAATTGAAAATATCAATAAAAATTCTTTTGGGAATATGTTCCAAATTGATTTTTCACACGATGTGAAGTGTTTTATCTCGATTATACGTAAACAAAACGTTACGTAACACAAAAACAAACCCTTTGATTGAAGTTTTTCGTTGAGGTTATGTGATTTTTCGTGTCAATAAAAATGAAAATTTGAAGTTTTTTTTTTGAAATTGTCTTTATTGATCGTTAGAGCCCGCGAAAGTGGTTAACGTTATAAAGAGATTTGCCGATTCCACTCGTTTATATAAGGTTAACCTTCAACCTGGGCTCTACGCTTCACCTTGCCTTAGAAATACCAACAAGGCTTTTATGGCATTGGAAAACCTGATCAATAAGATCAAGGAATACTAGGTCAGAGATCTTTCCTGAAAATGGAATTTATATTAATATGAAAATATTAAATTTTTTTGAATTTCAATTTTATTTTGGTTCAGGTCGAAGAGATTAATTACTTAATACGTTTTTAATTGTATGTTAAGAAAGCGAAAGTTCCTTTTACGAAGGATAAAGAACGCAATTTGAATTTGATTATTTTGGTTGAAATGAAGAGATTTTTGTTACAAATTTAATTTATTTTTATACAAATGTTACACAATTTTATTAAAATGGTCTAAGATTTCTATTTTTAACGATAACATTGCTTAAGATTTGTTCCCTAAAACAAATATACTTAAGCAATAATCTTAAGTTTGAGACATTGGCTTTGTTTAACAAGAAAACTTCACATGCAAATAATTTTTAAAGTTTCCTTTTTTATTTAATAAATAAATATATAGAATCGTTTAGTAATGCTGAAAAACTTGAAAAATGTACAAAAAAATGAAGATTCTTATGAAATGAGTTGCATAATGTTTGTTATAGACTGGTTATTTTAGGAATTAAGGTTTTCCTCAAGAAATTGTACCTATATTTTATAAGGAAAATGTGATCCTAGATAAATAGTACTTGATGAAAAGTGTTTTAGTACATATTAAGTTATATGCATAAAACATTGGAAGTAATAAGTACTAATGCTTCAAAATGTACAGAAACAGAATGCAGAAATGAGCATTATCCACTAAAGTTGTAACAAAGGAATTAACAGAAAATAAAGAATATCATAAAAAAATTAAGGCAAAGTTTTTTTAAAAAAAATCGTTCATGTTTTTGATGGCCAAATATAAAAAAAGATATATTTAGCTTAACATTAAAAATTGTTGCACAATATTTTATTAAATCACGTTTCATCATAACCAATATATGTGAAGCCGTATAGATGAATCCACATTGGCAAAAATCAAGGTTAATAAACAAATTCAAAACATTAAAAAATGGTGCCATTGAGGAGACACGTTTAAAATGATCAAAACCTGTATTGGTTATTACCAAACAATTAGATAATTTAGGCTAGAAAAAGTGGCGAAAAAAAACTGCTTGCTATAATAAATAAACATATTCGATTAATAAGTATTTTTAGTTTTCTTAAGATAGGTCATCAGAGTACGATTTTGATGTTGAATATTTGAAAGGTGAAATAAACAGTTTTAGTAATCACCAGGTATAAAATAAAACCATTAACGCATACTGACACAGAGCAAATTCATCAACAAACTAAATAACTATTTACAGTAGTAGAATTGCAACGGTTTGTTTTTAACCTTGATTATCTTCCATTTCATTACATCATGCGTTAGAGTATGTGTGACACAACAACTGTGCGGATTCCAGTTGATCCACATTCTATTGCGGAATTTTTCTGATGTTAGAAAATCATGATGTATATCAAGGTGAATAAATACAAGTCGCGTGTCAAAAGGTATGTGAGATCTTGTCATACATTCTTAAATTATTTGGGTCTTATATTTTAGAGCTAAATACAGATCAAGAATTGATATAATACTTAGTGTCTGTTTATTCTATAATAAAATATGTTTGATTGTAAACGTCGCCATCGTATATAGAGAACATGAAATAAATTCGCATTGCATGAGAAGCTGTCATAAATGTGATAGTTACTATTTTTAATTTCATTTTCTCTGATTCTTCATTATTGAAGTTGCTGAAGAAATTAAGTGTGGCACCAACAATCATGCGATAAGTTTAAATATACATAGATGAAGGTTCCATACAAAATCCGACACGGTTGTAAACAAAATATATACATAAGTCTATCATATATAACCATATCTTACTGGAATATACTGACCGACTCAAGAGCAAAATGGCTTCAACAATTTTGATCATTTATTCTCCTCTCTAACACTGCTTGACTGCCTAAAAAATAATAGCATTTTAGGAACTGACATTATATATGAAAATCAGATACTTAGTTCTCCAATACACAGGATAAATGTATCGAAATTTAGTAATCAGGCATAGTTCATTTATACATTCAAAATATTGGAGGGGTTGATGGTTAAGATCATAACATAAGATTTTTCTTGTAACTCATATTACAATTCATGTTATAAAATAGCTATATCTAGAAGAAAATCTGATAAAACTATAGATTAGTTTTTAGAAGATTACAATAGTAATATTGATCTATAACAAAAAAGATCTTTACAATTCAGACTATTACGCAAATGACGACCCACCATCTTACTTATACTACCAGTTTTATGTGTTTGTCCATAAATTGTTTTTTTTTTGAAGAATGTGTAGTTTTGAAATGCTCAATATGGTGATTGCTTCAAAGATTAATCTGTTTCTAGATGAATTATAATTGGCATGAATGTGAATTGGCGTGTGTATAGGAAGCATGAATAGTACTTATTGTAATGAAGTTTTATTTATTTTTAAGAGTGTTTTATCTGTTATCGTGCCAGCAACAGTGAAATTTATCTATACTACACCACTCTGAATTAAAATAACGGTTCTGTGACAGAATGCAATTTACAAATAGTTGTGCTTAAAACTTCTTGGCACTATGCCCAAATACGCAAAAACTCTTAATAAAACACATGGTATTATTATTCTATTTCAAACATATACTTTGGTTAACTTGTTTAAAAATAAAAAGGTGCTCAATAACTTGCACTTAGCTTTGTAGTGTTTCTAATTTTTTACAACCTTTTGATAACATATGATGCTTCATGACATAATGTGTAGTTTATATAGATAGTAAAAATGTGAAAAAAAGCGGAAGAAACACGCATACATTTTTGGATAAATTTTTGAAGAAAGCAATCGATGATTTTGGTACAAAATTTATTAGACAAAGAGGAATATTGTGTGTTATTAATTTATGGATAGTAACATGGAGGCTCTTTCAAAAACTGACATCTGTATGGTGCATATAAGCTAAGAATTACAATACAGGTGAGTCAGAAAATACCCACAGAAATTGTTAACGATTAACTCAGAAAAACTTCTAACAGTACTGGTATCAGATAAATGTATTTGTATGGTATAATTAGTTCCTATATACACAGTAGCATTTTTTGTTTCTAAGGAATCACCAAGAATATAATTTATATTAATATTTTCACCAAGAATCACAAAAATAGAAGATTGTTAAATGATTTAATATAAACAATAATTCCTGAAAATAGTAGAAGCCAGTTTGATGTGGCGTTGTAATTCACGAACTCAATACAGCCGATATTTCGGCAATTTATTTCATATAATTTGCAGAACTAAATGATTGACACATTTGAATACAATTATTTCAAAAAGTCAAGAAATTATACTACTCACCAGCTCCTAACATCTTTTCATCAGCTTTTTCACATCACCACGTTTTGATACACACCAGAAGAATTGCAGAGAAATACATACTAAGGAAAAAATTATTTTCCTAAAATAACCATTTGCATAAAATTAAATTGCGTACAACCAAAAAACGTTAAAAAGAAATGAATTTTATAAAAAGAAGCAAAAATAAAATGCGTATCATTTCACACGTTGAGCAATTAAGAATACGTTATTTAAACTAAAACTAATAGTAGTATTAACACTAGAAAGTTTCTAGGTCTAGTGATAGTGCTACTATTAGTTCTAGTTTTAGTTTAATTAACACCGGCCGTGAAAGCCTTCGTACTTATAAGAATACGTATATTTACAAAATTTGCCAAATGTGAAAACTGAAAAATATTTGAATATTTATAACTCATTTTTTTATTCTTATCTGATATTTTTAATAATATAATTTGTTTCAAAATATTAATTTTACCTGATTTTTACATTAAATTGTGTTTTATTAAAATTATTTTCAAATATTTTTGAAATTATTTAGTTTTTGCTTATTTAAAAAAAATATAAATTTAGGACATTCTCATATTAACCTGTATATAAACACACAAAATTTAAACATCTTGCATGGCAACAATAATATTAGCCAAAGCAGTACGTGCAATAGACTGTGGTAAACAATTAAGCATCTCTAAAGCGGTAAAAGAATGTTCCCTTTGCAAAGCCTTAGTTTTTTCCAATCCAGGTCCCTTCATAACTTCCCTCCTCACCAAATCGAAATCAACGTCCTCAACGTTATCGATCCCCTTTTCAATTTCGGCATATAATCCAGGATCATATTGCAACTGGAACATTACTGGGGCCGAAACCAAACTAAACGATCCACTTGATCCATGGAGAAAAGGTTCTCGATCTAAACACGCTTGCCAAGCTAACGCTAAATGTTTTCCAAATAAATAACCTTTTTCTTGCATCTCTTCTGGATGTCCCGCTAACATTAATGTACCTTGACAAGCTTTTCCAAGTAAACTCCCCGCGTTTAAAACGTGACGCAGTGTCCATTCAGCTTGCGCATCACCCAATGCGTCACCTACAATCATTGGATCTATGTTATTCGAAGACACTTTATACTCGATAGTTTCTAAACGAGGTTTCGATGGTAAAGGGTTATTTTGTCGATCTCTTGGACCAACAAATTCCGCTTCACTTAAATCTCGCAACGCCGAACTAATGAGTTCGTTTAATTCTTGGTTTCTTAAGGCAGCTAATTCCGCGCAACAATTACTTAGGAGGTAATCCCCGCTGAGTAACGCCATTTTATTTCCAAACATTAATTCACCAGATTTATCAACAACATCGGTTCCTGGTTGCATATTTATCATTCCTTTATGTACCAAGTGACTTGTTCTTATCATTTCGGTTACTTCAGCTAAAGCACGTTGACTGTACAATACTCCAGCTGCTTTATCTTGTTCTAAATCGGGAATATCCGAAGTGTGACCAGCTGCTTTTGATATTAAAAGAACAATTAATCCCCATGCTTGAGTATTGTTTTTACCATTGTAGATTAATCCCCTAAAAAGAAAATTTTGTTTTACTTTAGAGAATTATCTAAAAAAATTTAAATATCTAGAACGAAATTAACATTTTTTCTTTTCTAAAACGCCTTTCTATTTGTTTTACTTACTTTGCGGTTTTTAATAAAGGATGATTTGAACCAATCAATTTCCTTAAATGCAAAGCGATATTAGCAATTTCATCGCTAAGTAACCACCTTAAACTTAAAAAGGAAGTCGGATACCCCACGATTTTTTCTGCTTCGCTAACAGCCCGATTCCAATCGGGTTTCTTTCCGGAAGAAACAACATTTTGCGTCGACGATAAATCCCCGTATCTTCGATTCAAATTAACGCACGCACTTGTACTTCTTAAAACACCGTATTTGAACACATTAAAACCGCACTTGCTTAAATTCATCTCTTCGCTTGACTATTTTACTGTAGGAAACTAATTTTGCCGTACGTATCGAGGAAGTTTTTTATTTTTTAAACGGGGTTGAAAGTGTGTCAGAGAAAGTGGCCTTGATTCTTCGCGCCGTCGTCATCAACGTCGTTAATAAAACGTCTTCTACCTCAAGGAATACTTCTGTGTAACTTACCTTCGATTGAAATAATCGTTATTTTACTTTGTGTCGTCGATGTATTATTAAATGCTGATTGAAATGCGAATACACGTAGTTAATTAGCATTTTTTGTTTGTTTCTGATTGTGAATTGGTTTAAATTTTAAATGTAAAAGGTATTCATTTGAAAATAGATGGGAAATCCCTTCATCGTTGTGATAAAATTACGTTTTCGGATCGTTTGATTAATATTTTGTAAAATGGTGTAAGTTATGATAAGAAAAAATTATTTATAACTTTTTTTTAATGTATATTGTGTTGAGTGACTTTCTCTTGATAATTTTAAAGTAAACAAAACAATTGAAAGGAAATTTTATAACTTATCACAAATATTTTATAAATTTAAAAACTAATTCATAATATTATTTAATACTTCTAATAATACATACACAAATATATACAGATTCATCATAAATTAAATAAAAATTAAGTAAAAATCCATTTCTTTTTTAAGTATTGTCTTTTTTTCCATAAAAAATAATTTTATTTTTTATAAAGGATTTAAAAATTGTGGTTGAATCATCCCAATCATAGCAACACCCGGTTCTAAAACGGGCGTCCTATCAACGTGTGTTTTTTTATGCGTTTTAAGCGCCGAGTTTTGTCGAAAAGCTGTGCCACAAATATCGCAAATAAATGGCTTTTCTCCGGTATGGATGCGCAGATGTGAACTGAGATCGTTCGATTGGGAAAAAGCCTTCGAACAATATTGGCAAATGTATGGTTTTTCTCCTGTATGTGTCCGTTTGTGTCGCGCTAAAATTCCCGAACGTGAAAATTTCATTTTACAAACGTCGCATTCGTAGGGTTTTTCACCCGAATGAATTCGTTTGTGTTTCGTTAAAGAACTGGATGTTGTAAAACCATGATTACAAATTTGACAAACAAACGGTCTAGCACCTAAAAAAATAACCCTTTTTTTTAAGGAAAACAAAACGGTTTTAGGAACGCTTTTAGTGAATATTCGGGAAATGGATTTATTTACGGAAATAAATTTTAGGGAAAATTCTTGCGGAATGTTTTTTATGGGTTCAATTTTTCTTACCTGTGTGTTTTCTTAAATGAGCACATAATTCTCCTTTACTAGCGAACCCATTCCCGCAAATACTACAAACGTGAGCTTTAACGCCGCTATGTCGTACAATGTGTTGTCTTAAGTTTCCTAATTGATTAAAACCTTTACCGCAGGTTGAACACAAAAATGGCTTTTCACCGTTGTGGGTTCTCATGTGATCTTTTAAATTTGATATTTGGTTAAAACCTGAATTCAAATTAATTATTTTAAACATTATTCGATTAAAATATATTAAAAACATTTATTATATTTGAATCAATTAAGAAATAGGTTTAAGTAAAAACTATATGGGGAAAAGCTGTCAAGCGATCCAATACTAGTTCAGACTTTTTTGAAAAAATTCACGGAAAATATAAACGAGCTTAAGCTATTACCTAGCCAGACATATCATGCTGATGAATCAGCACTATTTTGGAAGCTGCTACTAGATTCATCGCTAGAGCAAAAAAGTTTCAAAGAAAGAAGTAACTTTTGTTGCTTCTGCCAATGGCGATGATAGTCATCAACTCAAAATGACGGTTTTAAAAACGCTAGTAATCCAGTTGAGCGCAATTTCAAAAGAATGCATTGATGTCAAACGCGTAAAAAGATTTCAAAAAAAGAATTTTAATGGGAAGACGCTGTTAATAATTGACAATGCTTCCAATCACATTTCAGAGACGCAGTTGAGAAGCGATGATGGGGAAATTGTTCTCTGTTTTTGCCGCCTAACTACACCTCGTTACTTCAGCCAGTGGATCAGAAAAGTCTGAGGGTCAAAAGCCCTCAAATATTAATATGTTGGATACAGGCTTTTTTCTCCCGTGCTATTGAGAGAAGGTGTCATCAACTGATACAATAAATAAATCTTTTCTTATTCTACTAATAATGCTACCGTGGCAACCTCACCTGAAGATTATTCAGATGTTAATGGAAAACGTCGTAAAAGAAAAGCTTTCTGAAGACAATGAGCAGAAATTTACTGAAATCAGAAATATGTTGCAACAAATCCAAATTTTTCGACTTGGGGATTCCCACTGTAGTCTGAGAATTTTAATCATAAAACACGTTAGTGTTTTACAATATAACATTATTACACAACAGCAGGTTTATTTCAAAAACACCATGTCATAGCATTATTATTATTACCCTTGTAACAGGGTTCTATATTCCTAATTAGGGCACACACTTTTCCACCTCAAGGAAATATTCTGAACGTCAACACATTATTTGCCTGGTTCGTCATCATGTTGTTTTATTTCGCTACAATTCTAAATGCCGAATAATTAGTATTATTTAATTTCATTTGCATCATGACTAAAGTCGGTTTCATACAAGTACAAAAAGACTAATTGCTGTCATAACATTATACTGAGTAGAAAGAGATAATCTAACTGAAGAAAATCGAAATACCGTTCACCATTCAGCGTTCCAATAATTTGATTGTCAACTATTCCTACGTTGACGTTTTGGGGATATTGGGTTTCCGTTTCGATCTTCCAATGGGGATTTTCAACTACCCAATAACGGAAGTTTTGCTTATTGACGGTACTATTTGAGGAAAACGTTGCTTCATCAGAAAAGAGAATGTTTTTAATGAACGCAGGATCTCCGTTGGTTAGTTCCGCCATACTCTCGCAAAATCGCCATTGCAAAGTTCTTGCACCAAGTGCATTTTGTAGGGATGATATTTTTCTTTTTTGAATAATCTTGCTACTGTGTTTTGGGATGAATTGAAATTAGTAGTAACATTCATGAGGGTTGAATGTGGATTTTCCTGTACTTTTAGCACAGCATCCAATTGCTGATCTTCATTTAAGGACGATGGACGTCCGGCCTTAGGTTTATCTCGTACATGTCCAAGTTGGCGTGCGATTTTGATGAGTTTCATTAAACGCACAGACTTCGTTCTGTGTTCGAACTCCATCTCCGAAATCAATCATCATTAGAATTTCGATTCTTTCAGTTTCAGTAAGTCTCATTCTTATTTTCTTATTTATCGATAAATACGTTGAAGAAATCGAATTTTGACACTTGGAAAATTGGAAGCAAACAATTTGTTGCTATGGTTACGCATGGCTACTGCTATTTTTCTATCTCAAGTGAATGGGAGATAATGAAACTTTAAAGCAATTTTTACGAAAATTTTCTTATGTAATCAATATTAATTTTGACTGTACTAAATTCAGAAAACAATCCTCTTTCGGATTTCGTAATAAAAAATTGCATATTGTATTTGAAAAAAACATCGATGACGTCATAAAAAATGGCGGAAAAAATTTAAAATCTACAACGAAAAATTGCAAAAAATTTAAATCTTTAGACCCGTCTCAGCGATTTTTCCATAAACTGTTTTTAATGGATTTATTGAATTTATCTATTACTTTTGGAAAATCCTCTATATAGTCAATACTCAGATATTTACAACATACAGGTGTCTCAGCGAAACTGGTCATTAGACGTTTCTGTGGTTCTGGAAAATAAAAATTTGAGAATTCAGGCTTAAGTATTATCAATTGCGTTCTCTTCGACTAAAATATTTTCAGATTTCCAGCACTTTCGGTTATACCGAAAATCGCCACCTACTTTATTTTTTAAATGAAACACCCTGTATATTTTTACATATTTGGATTTGTCTGTTTTTAAGGTTTATAAATAACTTTACTTTCTCCAATTTGATTCGGCCGTTCTCGACTTATTCGATTCGAATTTTTCTAGAAAAATATGCTCCAGCAGACAATTGTTCAAAAAGTCAGAGAACACTCAATTTTTGGGATATCAATTTAGGATTCAGAACATGCTTAAGCAACATGATGGAGTATGTTTTGGTGCCGAGAACGGCTGTTTAGTCAATTTACTATGACACGTTAACTTTTCGAAATTTGGAAGTTTTATTACAACGAAGTCTTTTATTAGTTTATTTTATTACTTAGTCGTCTTCTGAGTCTCATTCTACATCTTTTATATCCCATATGTCCCATACCTAACATCAATAGTTTGGGAGATAATTAGGGTTTTTTGAAAAATGTAAATGTATCATATGGATATTTAGCCTAGTGTGGCATGGAAAACAAGCCTTCTCAATGAGTTCTTGTCAAAGACTTACTTTTTTATGTCACTTGATGCATGTGAGCTAATAATTATCTGTTAGGCTCCTTAATATTAGTACTAAAAAGAATTAAAATCGATAACAATCACGAAAATAATATTTACACAAATTAAGAAATTCTTAATTTATTTTTTATACCTGAAAAACGCCACAAAGTTCATAGTATGATCCCAGCTCTTCTTTGGCAGCTCGAATTGAGGCGTTGGGGCTAGGCTCGAAATAAGCCAAGGTATTCATCTCTTCCGCGCATTATCTACTACATTTTTTGGTCAGTTTAACACGTGATTAATTCGTCCAACATGCAAAAAATTTGCTTCTATTCTTCTAAATTTACCTTTTGTTATCGGAGGTAAATGTGGATAGTGTTCATTAAACATTTTGCAAGTTCTACTAAGAACTTTGTCACACTTTGCGTGCACAAAAAATAGTATATTTTAAGGTTGTTGGATTGTTTTTGACAAGATGTTGCAAAATGCCATAAGGTTTTAATGCTTTAAACTGCATAATTTTCGAGATATTGAAACTTTTATTTAAAAAGATTTGACGTAGCGACAACCAAATTATGGCGTCATTATGGAATAGACAACTTAAGCCTTGACGTCACAGGGATGGGCGGAGCTTATACCGATTCCAAACATCTTAGTCACTAACTGTANTTCGATTCTTTCAGTTTCAGTAAGTCTCATTCTTATTTTCTTATTTATCGATAAATACGTTGAAGAAATCGAATTTTGACACTTGGAAAATTGGAAGCAAACAATTTGTTGCTATGGTTACGCATGGCTACTGCTATTTTTCTATCTCAAGTGAATTGGAGATAATGAAACTTTAAAGCAATTTTTCTCGAAAATTTTCTTATATAATTAATATTAATTTTGACTGTACTAAATTCAGAAAACAGTCCTCTTACGGATTTCGTAATAAAAAATTGTCAATAAGTCATTAAACATTTGTTTTCCATGGCAAAGTAGCTTAATATCGATATACAGGTGTACAAAAAGTATGGAATAATGGTTCTGCAGCCTAAACTTCAACTTATATTAAAAAAAGTTTTAAATAAAACTTACTTGAAACTATTTTCCGCATATCTAAGCGTAGAAATAAAATAAAAATGATGACTGAATGAAGTCTGAATTACGACATGGTGAGTGTTTTTTTCAAATGGAACACCCTGTATATTTTAAGGTTGTTGGATTCCTTTTGACAAGGTGTTCCAAAATGCCATAAGGTTTTAATGCTTTAAACTGCATAATTTTCGAGATATTGAAACTTTTATTTAAAAAGATTTGACGACAACCAAATTATGGCGTCATTATGGAATAGACAACTTAAGCCTTGACGTCACAGGAATGGGCGGAGCATATACCGATTCCAAACATCTTCGTCGCTAACTGTGGTAAATAGGTTGTTTATTCCATAATGACGCCATAATTTGGTTGTCGCTACGTCAAATCTTTTTAAATAAAAGTTTCAATATCTCGAAAACCATGCAGTTTAAAGTATTAAAACCTTATGGCATTTTGCAACACCTTGTCAAAAGGAATCCAAAAAACTTAAAATATACAGGGTTTATTTTATTTCTACGCCAAGATATGCGGAAAATAGTTTCAAGTAACGTTTATTTAAAATTTTTTTTAATATAAATTGAAGTTTAGGCTGTAGAACCATTATTCCATACTTTTTGTACACCCTGTATGTGAGCATTTTTCAAAATACCATAATTATTTCCCAAACTATTAATGTTAGGTATAGGACATATGGAGTATAAAAGATGTAAAATGAGACGCTGAAGACGACTAAGCAATCAGAACCCCAGAAACGTGTAATGACCGGTCTTGCTGAGACAGCCTGTATACTGAACATACATTAGTATTCAAGTACTAAATTAAAAAAGTATTTTGTATTTCAAGTACAAAAAAATTCGAAACTATTTGCATTTTGTACTTTTTTAAAAGTAGAATTCTGTTAATTACTAAATAAGAAGTAGTCTGTATAGTCATATTTGTTCTTCTAATATCTAATTATATTAAAATGTTGCATATAAACTAAATAACTCTTACCTTTATTACAAATTTTACAAACATGCGGTTTAATACCAGAATGTACATTCATATGATTCATTAATTGTTCAGATCTAACAAATCCTTTTCCACACAAATTACAATTATGTGGTTTCTCTTTCGAATGAATCTTCAAATGCCTGGTCAAATGCGATTTTTTCGAAAATAGTTTATCACAATCGGTACATTTAAGCTTTTTACTTTTCCCATGACTCCCCAAATGCTTTTCATACTCCGAATTATCAATAAATTCCGCATTACATTGTTCGCATTTGAAAGCCGACGTCGATTTTGTCTCAATTATTTCCTCTTTCATTTCCATTTTTATGGGAGTGTTTCCATCCGATTTAATATGCGACATTCGATGACGATGCAACAAATCATTTCGCGTGAATGTTTTTTGGCATACATCACATTGAAAAAATTTGGGGGGTTCGTGGATTTTCTTGTGTCTTTGTAATAAATTTAGTCGTAAAAATGGTTTTAAACAAACATTGCATTCGTGTAATTTCACTGAATCACCTTTATCATCCGATTTATCATCAGAATTATTATCATCTGGATCCCAAAAGTCTTCTGATTCTTCGTGTTGTGTAAAATATAATTCAGGTTTAACAGAAACGTTTTCTGAGTTATCTTCCAAAATAATATCTTCAGGTTTTTCAGAGTTTTCAAAATTAGTTGTGTGTGGTGAAGTTTTTGATAATGGGGACATTCCCAAACTACTTCTTAAGTACTTATCTGTTTGTTCACATTGTATTTTAAATAAATAGAATTCTGATGCTTTATTTGCACATTTACAACATATCGTTTCTGGTAAACCATCACCAAAAGTTATCTAAAAAATTAATTATCGTTTTCTTAATGATTTTTTCTGTAAACAAATTAATAATCTATTTAAATGGACTCATTCTTAATTTACCTGAACAGAAGAATAAGCCATTATCATCTCGGCTAAATGTATATCGAATCCACTGCGTTCGTCCCTTACAAAAATTGACTGAAATTCACCTTGACCAGTAAGACAAGCTCTACACACGTTCGGTAATTGGTCCTCTTCCATATTTGTGTGCCTTTCAAAAATAAAAAAATGTTTGGACGCCAAACAAACCCGAGACCCACCTATTTGAAACTACACACAGCACAACATAACCTCTTTTTCTCTTCTATCAACTTGACAGATTGAAATAACTTAAATGTAACTAGAATTACTAGAAATCTCACCAGATTAATTTGACATGTGGGAAGTTATCGGCATATTTGATAGATGGCGGTAAAAAATTAAAAATATAAATAATTAAAATAATGTATTTAATTAATAAATCTATTTTAAAATTATATTTTTCTTTCACTTAAATATAATAAATTAATAAAGTATTAATTTTTTCTTTGATGTTTATTGATCAAACTTTTTAAATAAAAATGTCTCACCCCTTAACGATAAGTAAAAATGTTTTAAAAGTTTATCATAACGAAAATATTCGGTTTAAACCAACGAAACGTATATTAAGCATAAATTTGAATCAATGGAAAGAAAATTTACCGAAAAAATTAATAGAAATATGTATCGATGTTATTGCATCTAATTGGGAAGGTATTTTTTGAATACATTTAATTTTTAGCCAATAATTCCTCGTTTCTTTTAAGTTTTACAATTACTTAATGAACTTCCTTTACTTGCAAACGTAATTTCTTTATTGGATATCTTAAGAGTTGATCTTCCATTAAAATTAACAGTACCAAAAATAGCATACGAAGTTTATTGGTTGAGATGTTACAAAGAACGTTGGCCCAAAAATTCGGTTATAGATCGGAGCTTTTCTGAAGTAGAAAAGTTAACTAATGAAAGAAAAGTAGTTAATGAAAAAATTATTGATAAAAATGAAAGAAAAACTTGGAAGGAGTTGTATTTGGAGAAGCATGTTCAAGAATACTTAGAAAATTTAGATCCAGAACATTACGATGTTGAAAAAATAAACGATTTGTACATTTTATGCAAAGATTATGTAACTAGTTTAAATGTTAGAGAACTTAGAGCACCGACTTCTATTAATATTCCAGATCATGTTCCCTTAAATACGATTTTAATGGGATTTTCGAATCTAAGAGAATTATCGTTGTGTTTTAAACAAGTAATTTTTTATTTTAGTGCCGTAAAACCTCGATATAACGGATTTTGTTATAACGAACTTTGGATATAAATGTTAGCTTTAATAGATAGAATCCAACTCGGGTTATTCAACAAGTTGCTCTATTCTAGAACTAACACTAGATTTAGAACTAGAAACATTTCAAATATTTATTTCTTAACTAAGTCAAGGTCGCTTGCGGCCGAAGTCTTATACAATAAGAATAAAAAAACAGTTTTTCAGGTTATATTATGTAATCAAACCGAGGTTGTTTGCGGCCGAGGGGCTACATTAATACAATATCAATACAAAACTATAATTTTTTACGTTGTACGACCAAATTAAGCCGAGCTCGCTTGCGGCCGAGGCACTAGCTCGATACCATGTCGATAAAAAGATGAGTAATACTTAAACATTTATTTCTTAACTAAGTCGAGGTCGCTTGGGGCCGAGACGTTATACCAAATACAATAACAATAAGAAAAGCAGTTTTCCAGGTTATACGACCAAATTAAGCCGAGGTCGCTTGCGGCCGAGGCACTAGCTCGATACCATGTTGATAAAAAGATGAGTAATATTCAAATACTTATTTCTAAACTAAGTCGAGGTCGCTTGCGGCCGAGGCGTTGTATCAAATACAATAAAAATAAAAATAAAACAGTTTTCCAGGTTATATGATGTTATTTAAACATTTTTTTAACAGTTTTACTTGTTATTCAGCGCTACATTGTTATATACTTTTATTGAACTAAAAGTAAAACCAACACTAAACCTAGAACTAGAATCATTAGGGTTTAGCTGTCTTAAGAGACGCTCAGCTAAACCCGAATGTTTCTACTTCTAGGTCTAGTGTTAGTTCTAATGCTAGTGTTAGCTCCAGTTTTATTTGTTATTTAGAACTAGATTGTTGTAGACTTTTATAGAACTAAAAGTAGAACCAACACTAAACCTAGAACTAGAATAATTCGGGTTTAGCCATCTTAAGAGACGCACGGCTAAACCCAAATATTTCTAGTTCTAGGTCTAGTGTTAGTTCTAATTTGTGCACCTTTACCCGGGATATACTTTTAGATTCCACCTCCACGTACACTGAATACTCCCTTTCTCGTATCCGTTACATTAATCCGTTATATTGAGGTTTAACTATAATTTAAATATCTTACTTTTTAAAGTTTTTTTTAGAAATACGTGGGTGAGAAATTTTCTTGGCACATTTTCAACACGACAATGATCGACATCAAAAATTTATCAAAAGGATTGGAAACTTCAAAACTAGAGATTTTAAGAATACAAAATTCTGATATAAATTGCATAAAGTTAAAAATGATCTTAAAATCATTAGATACTAACGATAATCTTAAAGAGTTAGAATTTTCTCACTGCAAAATTGCGGATCACGGAGCGATGGCAATTTCAAATTTTATTAAAAATCATGTCAACGTTACCAAATTAAATTTAGTTAACAATTACATCGGTACGTCAAAAAAATTTTAACCCAAAAATGTTCACAGTGTATCTCTTTATTGTAATAATGTCCGGAAATCTCGTCTTCCTTATTTTACTTATAAAAGAATTAATAACCGCGGCTTATTTTACCGATTATCGAAAAAATTTTGTTTTAAACAACGTTTAATATCGATACGAAACGATTTATTTTATATTTATATTTTCTTTATTAAATCTACAGGATACGCTGGAATTAAAAGTTTGGCATTTATTCTTATGGAGGACGATCATTTAAACGAATTAAACGTACGTTTAAATATTATAAATAGTAAAGGTGGAAAATTTTTGTTTTACGCTTTAACGAAAGGAAAAAATGTTTTGAAGAAATTAAATTTATCCGGATGTGGATTAAACAGACGAAATGTGGAAATAGATGAGTTGTTAAGAAGTAATGAAACTTTGGAGAAATTAAATTTGAGTAATAATCGGATGGGAAAGGTTTGTAATTGTTTGAGTAAGACCCAAGTTTTGGATTTTGAGATTTTTAAACATGGTTTTTCCCTTTTTAAATTAAATCTTTCTGAATTTCAGAATTGTTATCTTTGCAAACGTTGAATGTACAAAGTTGGAAGGAAACTAAATTATGTTGATGTTACCATGAACATTTTGCTTAACATTTTAGTGTTTTGCCCCTGTAATATATTTATATATCATTTAATATATTTCTACTGTTTATTAAAACCCATTGCAGACAATTTTTATTATGGTTTTATATCATTTTAAAAAATAAGTTCGAATATGTTTTGGAAGCGGAAGATATCGAAATTAACTGAAAATGACGTTGATATCATTATAGCTTCATATAAGTCCAGTCTTAAATATCACACGTAATATTGACAATTAGTTTGGTTGGTTAAATGTGAAGGTAAATTTTACACCGTTTCAGTCCCGCTTTGGATTCTTAGGGATTGAGGTTGAAGACAAAAAGAAGGTTATAAATTAGAGAGACATAACTTTGAAAAACTGATAACGGTATCTGAAAAACGCAACTGTTATTAACAATATGTTATGTAGAAATGTTCAGCGATTACAACAAACTTTGCCGCAATTTTTTTAATCTAAAGTGAGGGGCTTTGACTTTTGGCACCGATAGTAGATACTTGCCAGTCTCATTGTAGTGAGGAGAAATTTTGACATTAAAAAGTTGATAAAAATTGATTATAATTGAAAAGCACCACTCAATTTTGTGTCTGATTTAGACATATTTTTCATTTGGAACGTTTTGTTCCATTGCTTTTAGTTTTCAACTTATTGGCTATTTTCACTACAATTTATTGCTTTTATGCTAATTATTGATTATTTTGCTAATTATATTATCAACAATTAGTGATGGTTTTCCCAACCGCATTTAGTTTATGATTTATTAAAGATTAATTTTTACTTACCCATTTTCAACAATTCTGTTTAAAGGTTAAAAACAAGAAAAACTAAAATTGTACTTTGCAATTTATTTATTTATTCATTCTTTGAAACGTGAGAGATTTATAACTTGAAAACAAACTGTGTGGTTAATACCATTTTTTTTTATTCATTTTGGTTATCTTGGTTATTGCGTCCGTTACGGTTCTTGTCCACAACAAGGAGCTATTTGTTTCTTGTCATCGTCAGTAGGTTTACCATTGTCGACATCTCTTTCGTGGCGAGCATGACCATCGTCATCTTTAGTATCATCCATTTTTCTTACGTTTGAGGTGGTACCGGCGTTAACCTAACATACATTTCAAAATAAATTTATTATTATATTAGAATTAAAAAAATTTCTTACCTGTGCATAAAGCACACCAAACACAACGGCGACTGTAAAGACGTAGATAAATTTCATTTTTGTAGCTGTGTGAAGTCTCCAAAAAGTTCACCTCCTTTTATACCAAGAATTATCGAAGATTTTTGAAAAACATCTCGAGAACAATGCGCTCTTGTAATAAATCATACCCATTCAGAATTTAATACCCTTTTATTCCTAGGATTTATATGCTTGTTTACCGCGTTCTTTTCCCTCTATGGCGAAATTGATTGAAACATTTTTTTTATTCTAGGAAATCGAAAAATTGATATTAAGTGGACTCCAATTTAACACAACTTTGATTAATCTCGATTGCAGAAGATGCGAATTTTCTTCAGATGAAGCTACGAAAATATTTGATCTTTGCGAAGATAACAAACGGAAAAATCGATCGAAAGAAGTCTGTTGGGATCCACCTCAATTTCAATTCCGAGAAAGTTTTGATGAAATCTTTTCAGTAGAATTTCAAAAAGAATTTGAAAATATATTAATTGATTAAATTTGATTCTCTTTCCACGAATTTTAAGGTCAACTGATTAACATTGAGATGCGAAAAAGTGCTTAAAAATATAACTTTCGCAATTAATTCTTAGTTCTTAATACCTTTTCAAAAATAATAATTTCAAGGAATTTTAGTTTCAACGCGATGAAGTCATTAACATTAAAACCCAAACATTTTTTTTTATAAACTGGGTGTAACACATTCACAATAGGTACAAATTAATTCAATTTCATTCAAGATTTGTCATTTATTCGAAGGTAATGTCTTGCGTAATACACACCCATATAGAAATTAAACACGTTTATATCGATTGCAACAAAATCTTCCAAGAAAATAACCTCGTTATATCCGTTTATCATCGATCGTTTTAAGAAAAGTTTATTAAGAAATTTGCCATATAAGAAATATACAAACAATTTAAAAATGAATAAACCGAGTATGTGTATCAGGAAGGTTACACCGAGTAAGGTGACGTCATCTACATCCGGAATTGAAACGAATGTTGAGTGAACAATTAAAAAGAATCATTCTTGAATTTGCAATTATCGTCCCGGAAAATCCGAACCAGAGGCGAAAAATTAAAATAATGCATATGGAAATGGATGTTTTTTCGTCGTGACATATCACGATGTATACATAGAACATAATGAGGAAAAAAATTCACACGTGTGTGGTTTATTTGTGAATACAAATTGATACAAAAAAGTGTCAAAAAGGATCGCATCGTTTGCGATAAATAACAATTTGTTGTTTTATTTTAACCACATAATTGTTTGTGGTTATTCCTTTTTTTCGCATATGTAAATGTTAACAGGATGAGATTAATAAGCTCTAAAACATCGTTCCTAAGAAATCCAACGGTAAAAAAATAATCTCTTATATAAAAACATCTTTAATTTTCCTTTCCTATGAGTTATAACGGAACTTATCATTTTTTTTTCATATTTATTGGGTACTTAAAAAAACTGGCTCTAAGTTGTAATTTACGTCTTATTTGTACATCAATCATCACGTAAACCTTTAGAATTCAACTCTTAAGTATAGAGTATCATCGCAGATTTTTAAATCCCACATTAAAAAAGTTATTACTTAAAAATAATTTATGATTAAATGTAAAAAGAATTTAAACTTTATATTTCCCATTTATATCAAAAATTACTAGAAAAGAAAATAGGAATGTTTTAGATAAGCAAAAAGATAAATGAATTTAACTTAGCTGTAATGTTGCAATTACGAATAAATTGCTTCCATTCAAGAATATCAACTAAAGAAAGAAAAATATAACATTAGATCATTTAAATTATAAATTTTAAGATGAAAAGATTACTCTTTTCAAAAACTTAATTGGAACAATGGAAATAGAATCATTAATTAATTCTCTTTAGGATTTAGGTTGTTTAGGTAACAAATTGTTCTGTAAAAATGAAACTCTTGATGTTGACGAGAAGTGTTTGACGATGAAAGAAGCTGAACCAAAGATTTTGTTAAAAAAGTTCATAATTAGGTGATATTAGACAACTGCCATGTTGTCTTTGTAACTTAAAAGCTTTTCTGATCTGGATATCAGATCGCGTCGACATCTGATAAGCGTGAATTAAGGAATGATAAACGAAAGAGTTGCATACCGTAAGCAAGATAATTTCCCATAGGAATTTGTAGTTCTATGAAAGTCAAAGTAGATGCTATAAAATAGGATCTACGACTGATTTGTGTAGAGATCTTCTACGATTTACTTCTTAAAGGGAAAATAATGTTTTGTTTGTATTGTTGTTAATTGAACGATTCAATGATTTTGTCAGTAAATCAACATAATGGATTTACATAAAGTTCGATAAAGTCCGTTAAAATTGTTAAATCTTAGAATATGAGGGATACGAACAAGAATTCATTAATTATACCATAAGAAAAGAAAGTGGAAGTTCTATTTGACGATTACAGTTTAGATAATTTTATCATAATAAGTTAAAAAATATTCTGCAATTCTTTTACATAACACCCAAGTTTCCATGCTGCATAGGTAAATGTATTTTGTAAAAATAAATGTATCTTCATCGTATTGCGCAACATCAATTGGATTTTGCCTGGTTTCTGAAATCACGAAGTTCTAACTTTTATCCAGATTGAAATTGGTTAGGTGAAAAGTATTTATCATTACCATATCGAAAAGGTTAAGAGTATGAGCTAACTTTGTTTTGAAAAAAGGTTTGATCTGATATCTTTCGAGCAAACCACTCATTAAATTAATTCCTATATAAAGTAAAGGAAATCAATGTCATCATACACTTTTAATCAATAATAATTGTTTGAGAGTTTCCGACTGAATGCAACGACATGTAGAAGTTCTCAAATTAAGTGACAGAACTTATGAAATGAGGACTCCCAATTATTACAATTTTGTTGTAAGTGATGGAGCATTATCATGAAGGAAAATCTCTTTGTATTGCTATTTTGACATTTTGGTCATTTTTCACGGAAAACTTGATTCAAATCGATCATTTAGTGTCGGTAGCGTTTAGTATTAACAGTTTTGCTAGGTTTTAGCAACTTCATGATAGATCATATCCCGCGGATCTCACCAAATACAGAACATTGCTTTCTGTTCTTAGCAATTTAGTTTTGCAATGGATGCCGATGGTTCTCCTAGATCTTGGATCTAGATGAATCGTAGATGGTTACCAATGATCTTTTACGCCTAAGATTCTAAAAGTATATCCACTTCATTGCTAGTCACATTTCGATGGAGAAATAATTTCCTTTTGTACTAGTAGTAGCTTTCGGTTTTCCTGCTGTTTTTCATTCAGTTGTGATCTTCTGCACATCTTTGTCAGATATCAGCAAATGGAAATGGCACCAATGACACAGTTTGGCGGTAATTAAATTGGTAGCTAGAGCCATCTATGGACAAATTCATACTTACATATGATGTATCATCGTGGAATCATGTACCACGTTAGTAGTCACCTCATCAATGTGGCTTTGCTGAAATATACGATCATAATGTATTACAGTATAATGTAAGCGATGAGTGTCTTTCTTATAAAACATGGATTTGTTTGATAAGCAATGATACAACCAGTTTACCAGTAATAAAATATGACAATTAATCATAGGCTATTTTTAGTTCATTGAGTAATGTAGGTATTGATACAGGTTGCTCTCCCATTTTCGTCAACATACCACCATTACCTAAGATGTATTCTAAATTCTTACAATGTTTTGATAACATGTCTTTGGGTGTGATTCTAAGCAATGATATAACCAGTTTATTGGTAATAAAATATGAAAAGTAATCATAGGCTGTTTTTACTTCATTGAGTAAATACAAGTATTGACATAGGTTGCTCTCCCATTTTTGTCAACATATCACCATTACCTAATATGTATTCTAAATTCTTACAGTTTTGATAACATATCTTTGGGCATAATTCTAAATTGATCAAATCTAGCATCTAGTGTTTTTAATACTTGTTCGATTGTAAAATAAAAAAGTCTAGTATATGATATCATTAAGGTGGAAAAATTATATATATAAATTTAAAAAAGAATGACTTGGAATTTAGGAAGTCATTTTTCTCTTCTCGTAGTCTTTGTTGTCTTGAGCGAACACAACAAAACTAGTCCTTAATTCGCATGAGCTTCGAGGCACAAATTATTTTGCAATTATTTTTCTATTATCTTAATCCTTTGTTTTACACACTTGAGCTTTAGTCAATTTTTTTGCTGCATGATCTCGATTTCAGTACGATGAACCAAAGAATTCAATTAACACGGTGTTTCCCAAACTTTCGACATCTATGTAGTATTTCTAAAATTTTCATAACTCTGAGTACTCCCCGTAAAAAAAATTGGATATACTTTAATAACAATCAAAATACATTTATTTCTTTGCCTTCTCTCTTCATGTGCCTCTAGGGGTACGCGTCAAACCTCGATTCAAGCAATTTATTTTGCATACCAAAATGAAATTACGATAGAAATGGATAAAAGAAGAATTGTTCTTAAAAAGACACTGTATTTATAAAATATCACGTGGACTTCGACATTTAAGCTATAAGATAACAAAAATCCTTTGGGAAGTGGAACGAAATAAAATGTGGCTTGTTGCAATCAAAGTGTTGTTCTTGCAATGTGAAAAAGAAAATGTGTGTTTAAGAAAAGAATATATTGGCTTCTCCAATAAGATATGAGAGTTCACAAAAACTTCTGAAAACATCTAATTGACTAACTGTGAAGGCATGGTTATTTAATTAGCTTAAATTATTGAAAATTATTAAAATTAATAATTCTGGTTTTTCAATAATATAAGGTTTCTGTAAAGTCCCTCAACTAATAAAATGAAGTACCACGATATTATTTACTGGCATGCTTATTAACTGTGTTAACACTTTTGCTATATAATCTTAACATATTTCTTTTTCTTGAAAATATTCACCTCAATTCCTCATTTAAGGTTAACGACTAATTACTACTTTATTGTAACTTATTAGCAGATTCAATCCGGGATTCCTCCAACATTGTTTACTGGAATATTTACGATTTTATTACCATTAATTAGCAACCCAAAGTCAACGTTGCGACGATCTCCTTGCTTTTAGATACCAATTAAGGCAATTTTCTTCTGTACAATGGGATGAGAATATCTCGAATTTAATTTTTTTTCTTATTTTAACACAAACCGGTTTTGATAATTGTCAATGTAAATATGTAACCTCGTCTTTAATATAAACGCTATTCAAAAGAAAGAATTGAAAATGAATATAAAAAATTATCTTGCCAATCAAGAATTTACCTCTTCACATTATTAACATATAGATTTTAAAGATAGGTCAATAACGTTTCAAAAAAACAATTCAAAACTGTTTCTACTAAAGACTTGATTACTCATCGTCGAAAAAACCCAAAAACTTTGTTAAGTCCGATTGCTTCGTCGTTGTCGAGTTCGTGATCATCGGTGGTTTCGGACAAGGTTGCTCCTTCTTCTCCTCTGCACCACAACACGTCGTTATGTAAGGATGTATAAATAGGTTGTGGGTCGATCCCAGAGATTCAGTCAGGTTGGCATTTGCAGACAAGATAGGTTGCGATTTCAAAACATTGTTGAAATCGCCACTCTTTAAACATGTTAAACCGAAATAGTGTTGTGTTGTGTGTTGCCGCTTTATTAACTCAACCATTTCAATGTAAGTAAAATAAATTAAAATTATTTATGATAAAGAAGAAAAAAATTAATTGGTGATAAACATTTAATGGATAATATTATGCAATTGATGAACATACAAGATTTTTAAACTTGAACGAATTGTGTTAATAAAATTTATCATAAAATATTAGCTCAACCTTGCAAAAAATTCTCATCTTAATTAATGTTTCTTTTTAATTGTGAATGTTCAATTTAAAATAATTACAAAATGAATATGCATAATTTTTTTAAACAAGGATTTTCCATTCAATAAAATCCTTCATAATACACAAAATCAAACAATACACTATCACTATCAAAGAATGTAGAAAGTTAAATCCATCACGTTCCAATTACTCTATCATTTCCGTTTAGTCAGAATCAATTTTAAACGGGTGAAAAGATCAAGGTAAATACTTTACTGTTTGATAATGAACTTGAATAGTTTACGACAACAATAAAAATAAATGGACCTTTCATCCCCGACCGATAAATTTAAAATGAATTTGGGTGTGTAATGTATTAAATATTGATGCCGGCAAACTCGTTTGCTGAAGGTCATCCTTTGCAAAAAGACACATATGTAAATTGCGTTTATACAAAAGTTATTTGCGAAGCATCACGTATAACCCGTCCTATTTTCTTATAATTCCTTTTTTGTAGCACTTCAATATGGTCATGGACATCATGGTGCTGGGAGCGTAAGTGGTAGTTTCAGTTCATCTGGATCAGCATCGCAATCTTCTTGTAATACCATCCCATTTCCATCAAAAACCAATTTTAATTTAACTCTTTTAAAACATTTTAGCATTTGCTAGTTCAAGTTCCTATTCATCATCTGGAAGTTACTCAGGCTCTGGAAGCATTGGAAACGACCTTGTAGGGCACACTTTAGGAATTTTACAAGGAATCGGTGTTGGAGCTCCTGATGCTCAAGGTGCTGGTTCTTCCGCAGGATCATTTTCTGGAAGTTACGCTGGTACAAAAACCGGCCCAAAAGGTGCTGACATTTTAAAGAAACATGGTGTAGGAGTTGGTGGAGGAATTGGTTTAACTGATGGTGATTCATTAGTTGGAACTGGAGACTTTGGAAGTGCAGCGATTAAAGCAAATTGCGGCCAAAATTCGTGTGGTCATTTAGGAACTGGACATTTACCATTGGGAAGTGGACCCGACACTTTGGAAGCTGGTGGATCGGGAGATTACGCTGATAATGATAAGTTTAAGATTGGACCTCATAAGCCAAGTGGTTATGGAGCGAAAACTAATAGCGGCGCAGGAGTTGGAGGAGGAATCGGTATTGGGGCAGGAGATACGTTTTTGGGAGGAGGCGTTAAAGTTGGTGGATCAGGTTGTGGTGGAGCTGGAACTGGATGTGGAGATGATGTTAAACCAATTGTGGAAATTGGAGTTTCTGGGTCAGGACCAGGATCGGGTGGTATTCCTTGTACTGGATTTGCCTGCTTACAATCGCCTAATAATAAACCTGGGGCAAATTGTAAAAATGGAGGTTGTGGCCCGGATGCGCTTGTTTTCCCAGGAGCAGTAGGAGGTAAATTAAGGTTTTTGTGTTAATCTACAAAATAATCTTATATTTTATTTACTTTAGGATATAGTTCTTCTGGATCATATAGTGGCTCGGGTTCTGGTTCTTCTGGATTCATTAATGGAGGTGTTATTATTTCGAAACCTGGACAACCAGACACAACAATTCATTTTGAAAGTGCTTCGCCCGGTTCTTCCCAACCAGGATATTCTACACCGGGATATTCACAACCTGGACATTCTTCACCTGGTTCTTCACAACCTGGATCTTCTCAACCGGGATCTTCACAACCTGGATATTCACAACCTGGATCTTCACAACCTGGATCTTCACAACCTGGATCTCCACAACCTGGAATTTCACAACCTACACATTCTTCTCCAGGATCTGTTCAACCAGGATATTCTACTCCTAGTTCACCACAATCTGGATCTTCTCAACCAGGATATTCAGCACCTGGCTCTTCACAACCAGGACATTCCGGATCTTCTTCACCTAGTTATTCAACCGGATATGCTCATCCAGGTTCTTCAGGACAACCATCGTCTCCGGGATCCTCTTATAATCAACAAGGACCTTCGTTAGGATGTGGAGCTGGTGGTGTTGGTTGTTCTTCCTCAGGATCTGGAGCTATTTCTGGAACAATTTATCCAAAACCAACTGTATCTGGTGGAAGCTCATATCCAAGCACATCTGGTTGTACTCCTGGTCAACCAGGATGTTCATTACCAACCCCAACAGGTTCTTCCGGTTGTGCACCTGGACAACCTGGATGTTCTTCACCAACTCAATCCGGTTCATACCCAACATCAGGTACTACATATCCTACATCTTCCGGTTGNTTGGTTGTTCTTCCTCAGGATCTGGAGCTATTTCTGGAACAATTTATCCAAAACCAACTGTATCTGGTGGAGGCTCATATCCAAGCACATCTGGTTGTACTCCTGGTCAACCAGGATGTTCATTACCAACCCCAACAGGTTCTTCCGGTTGTGCTCCTGGACAACCTGGATGTTCTCCACCAACTCAATCCGGTTCATACCCAACATCAGGTACTACATATGCTACATCTTCCGGTTGTGCACCTGGACAACCTGGATGTTCTTCACCAACTCAATCTGGTTCATACCCAACATCAGGTACTACATATCCTACATCTTCCGGTTGTGCACCTGGACAACCTGGTTGTACTTCACCAACCCAACCAGGTTCATATTCCTCTTCTGGACCATCTCCAAGTTGTGGACCGAATGGTGTTGGATGTTCGGGATCGAACGTTCCATCAACGTCAGCATCTTATTCTGGTAGTTATTCTCCATCGTGTGGATCTAATGGTGTTGGTTGCGGAAATGTTCCTAAAAATGAATATCCAACGAAACCAGGTGAGCATAAACCGTCAATTGATTTGGAAGCCCCTTACAATGTCCCAATATCAGGATCTGGGCCAAGTTATGTATCTCCAGCGCCGAATCTAATTCCGGGAAGTGGTGTTCATTACACTGGACCTTTCCCAGGACCGCAAGGATCCATCCATGATAGTAAACCAACTAGAAAACCAACTGCATCTACCACGTCCATTCCGACTTTAATTCATGGATCACATACGCCGTCGGGATCTTATGATGTTGGATTATCGCCAAGTCAACCAGGAAATGTGCAAGATTCGGGAAGTCATTATTCAGGTCCTTTCCCAGGAAAACCAGGTTCTATTCATGAAAGTAAACCAGCAGGACATAAGCCCGGAGTACCCAATGTACAACCTGCTCCAGGACAACATGGACATACACCTGCTGAAGATAAACCCGGACATGGTGGAAGACCAGACCATCAACCAGGATATGGAGGAACAAAACCACATTATGATGGACCTAAACCGGAACATGGAAGTCACAAACCAGCACATGGAGGTTCTCATCCTAATGTGCCAGATAGTGGTGTTCATTATACTGGACCATTCCCAGGACCAAGCGGCCCAATTGATTCCAGCAAACCAGCAACAGGAACTAAACCATTTACCCAACCTGGTGGTTATCATCCACAATCAACAAATCCTACCGTGCCAACGTATTCAAGTAGTACATCAGGGGCTGCCCATCCTACAGATGGTGAAGATGGTGGAGTGCATTATACTGGTCCATTCCCTGGCCCTTCTGGATCAATACATCATAGCAAACCAGCCACTAGTAAAACAGGAGCGCATTCAACTATAGGATCAACAGCAGGCACAACAATTGGATCTACAATTGGATCAACAATTGGATCTTCAGTTGGATCTACAATTGGATCAACAGCAGGAAGTTACAAACCAACGTCTAGTTATCCAAGTTCCTCAAGCACCTCAAGCTTAACAAGTTCATCAAGTGGTTCATACGCAGGAAGTTCATCAACCAGTGGATCATCTTCAACTTCACAACAACCAACATCACCAACCCATCCACAAAGTTCCTCCAAACCAGGAAAACCTGGTTACAACTCTAAACCAGAACCAGAAACGGAAAAACCAATAGTCCATATAATTCCAACAGCTAAAACTCCGTATCCAACATCAAAACCAGAATTATCTGTTGGTGTCAGCGATGAATTCGGAACTCCATCCGCCAAACCATCAAAACCGTGTTCCTCGGGAAATTGTGATGTCAAATCCGACGTTGGACAGGGATGTGGGGGATCCGGATGCTCAACAGGCGTTTCTTTCGGTGGAAACGTCGAAGTGGGAGCTCCATTAAAAGGGTGTACTTCCGGTAATTGCGGAGAAAATGTAAATGGATGTTCTGGATCTGGATGTGGAGGTGATAATTCTGGAAGCGGTGGTTATTCTGGAAGTGGTAGTGGTTCTGGAAGTGGCACATTAGGATGTTCTGGATCTGGATGTGGTGATCATTCTGGAAGTGGTACTGGTTCTGGAAGTGGAACTTTAGGATGTTCTGGATCTGGATGTGGTGGTCATCCTGGAAGTGGAGCTGGTTCATATGGTGGATCTGGATCCTATAGTTCATCCGGATCTTTCAGTTCTTCAGGAAGTCATGGTTTACCACTTATTGGTGGAATTGGACATGGAGGTGCAGGCGGATATGGTGGAAGTGGAGGACATGGTGGATGTGCAGCTTGTTCTGGTTTACAATCAATTTTGAATGGATTCGGAGCTTCCGCATCGGGATCAGGGTCTTATAGTGGATCTAAAGGAGGTTTTTATGGGGGATCTAAATCGGGAGCTTATTCATCGAGTGGTTCTGGCTCATTCGGGCTTGGTGGAGGACATTCTGGATCGTATTCAGGAAGTAAGATATATTATAAAAATTGTCTATTTTTTTTTTAATTAAATTTTTTTGTTTTCTAGGTTACTCATCCTCAGGATCTCATTCAGGCCATTATTAAATAAAGAAAAAGTGAAAGTTAAACTAATGTAACATAAAAACAATGTGATTCTATTTCATTAACTTTATATAAAGTTGAGACACTGTAAAAAATATTTTTTAATACTTTAGAAATGTATACATTATAAATGTACGTATTTATACCTTAAAATAAAAAAAATGAACACAAACAAAACTAAGTTTAGCTATGTTATTTGAGGTCATTTTCTAGGTCATTTGGGTGATTATAGTCTTCATGATGTGTTTGAAAGTGCATTGCTAAAGGAAGTGCGCTCGAACTCGTTGCATGTTCTTTCTCTCAGTGCAATTCAAGCGCCGTTACAGAATGTTTTACCTGAGTATTTTAACCATTTTCGTTGTATGGATTATTAAGAAAATTCTCGATTATAAACGTGTTAATGCACAGCTTAAAGATTTTGTTAGTCCCCCAGGACATTTTCTTCTTGGTAATTGGAGAGTGTTTCAAAACAAGACCAGTAAGTCGTTTTATTTAAATATAAAAATTATCGAGTAAAATAATTTATTAAAGAAACTCTAAATAAAATCACAAAATTATCAAGAGAATATGGACCAAGATTAAGATTTAACTGCCTTGGACTTTGCATACTTTTTGTTACGGACAGAGAATTTTTAAAGCTTCTTTTGGGGACTACTAAAATCATGAATAAGGATAATACTTACGAACAAATTGAACCTTGGTTAGGAACTGGTTTATTAACGTGTAAAAGTAAACCCAATTTAAAGTTTTTTAACGAATTAATTACTTTTAAAAATGTTTTTAGAGGAGAAATGGGAGAAAACAAGAAAAGTTTTAACCCCGGCGTTTTATCTCCAAGTTTTAGAATCGTACATTTGCAATTTCCATCAACCGATTACAAATTTAATTAAAAAATTAGAGACTTACGTGACGAAAGATTCTTTTGATGTGTATCCTGTAATAACTTTATGCACTTTAGATGTAATATGTGGTAAAAAACATAACAAAGTTTTTTGGTTTATAATACATTTTAATTTTTATGGTAGAAACCGCAATGGGGACCACAATAAACGCTCAAAATAATGAAGAATCTACTTATGTAAAAAGTGTAAAAGAAATGTTAAGGATTGTGCAAGATCGATCGCAATCCGTGTGGAAAATCTTTCATGTAGGATTCCTATTATCAAGAGATTATTGGAAACAGAAAAGAGCTTTAAAAGTTTTACACGAATTTACTAAAAATGTTATCGATAAAAAAAGGCTAGAAAAAATTAATGATGTAAAAAAAAACTTCAACGAAAAGAAAAAGTTATCTTTTATTGATTTGTTATTAGAAGCAAACATAAACGATAAAGAAATTGCGCACGAAGTTGATACATTTATGTTTGCGGTATTCGAAACTAATTCACAAAATAAACCTTGAGATAAATATTGTTTTTGATTTTAGGGTCACGATACAACCGCTTCTGGAATCAGTTTCCTACTATACTGTTTATCAAAACATAAACAAGTACAAGATAAAATTATTGACGAATTATTTCATATATTTGGCGAAGATGACAGATTTCCAACGTTACAGGATTTCAACGAAATGCAATATCTTAATCTTGTTATTAAAGAATCGTTAAGGTTGTATCCTCCAGTTCCGGTTTATATAAGATCTTCAGAAGTAGATATAGAATTGGGTAAGAAAAAATTTTATTGCTAAAGTTAATTGGTATTGAATTTTATTTAAGAAAATTTGAAAGAAAATCAAAAACCTAAGTTGAAGGAGTATTATACTATCATAGTTTTATATCATAGATTTATCATCAATTATTTGAAAAATGCAACACGGCGAAAGAGATAATTACCAACAATTTATATCAATAAAATGTTACATCTCCACGACTGTTTATGCACTGTCTAACTCTGCGAGACATGGTATAAATGAGATCTCAATGATATTTTGTAGAATCTCATCCCAGTCTTGCTGTAGATGATGACGCAGTTAATGCAAGGTGTTTGTCAACCCAACCCATCATATCCAACACATGCTTGATCGTGTTTAAATCTGGAAAGCAAACAGGCCAGGGGAGAATTTCTACTGCTTCTTCGTGTAGGAAGTTTTGACAAATGCGGACAAACATGATGTCATGGCATTCGTTTAGCCTGGGTGTTACAAAGGGCTGTGGATGTACCGGTGTGCCATTAAAGTGCCAGGGATGACAACTAAAGTTGACTTATACTCCAACGATATGGCACTTCATACTGAGCTGGAGAACGAAATTTGACTTATTTGTCTTCACGTTTTTTAACCGCTCGATGACGTCTGCTTCCAGGACGACGATGTTGGTTATGTTCTTCAGACCACGCAATTTATGCTCGAAGCACTGTTGAAGGATTTAGTTTAATAATAATAATAAACTGTTTATTCTGCCAGAAATAAGAACAATACTCAAATTTGGAAAATAGGTTGCATGTGTAAATGGTGAAAAGGACGGGGCTCAAAATAGAACCATGAGGAGCACCAGAAGAGCAGATCACAGGATCAGATAAAACTGAATTCAGCTCAACCGATTGAACCCTATTTGTTAAATAGCTATCGAATTGCTTAATTGCATTAACATCCAATCCAATAAACTTCAAAATGCACAACAGGAGACTATGATCAAGGATGTCAAAGGCCTTACCCTAGTCCAGAGACCTGAGTACATCATCAGTCAAATCCAGGAGCACAGTAGCACAACTGAACTGTCTCCTGAACCCGGAATGCTTAAGAGACAAAATGTAATCTGTTTCCAGATAAATATTTAACTGCTCTATCATAAGTCTTTCTAAGATCTTTGAAAGGACCGGCAGAATTGTAATGGACCTTACAACCAGTGATAGAAATAACTTTGGGAATGGGAACAACAAAACCATACTTCCAGCAATCCGGAAACACTAAATGAATCAAACAAAAATTGAAAAGATGGACACAGTCGAATCATATCCAGGCTGATTCCATCAGATCCAACTCCTGTAGACCTTAGGTTCAATAAAATCTGCTGGATACACTCAGTAGAGACCTCACTAAATGCAAACATGAACGAAGCAAGACGCATCCTATTATTATCATAAAAAGTAAGATCAGTATCAGGAGTAACCAAGGAGTCATTTACACTATTACTAAAACATGTATTGATAACATTAGGATCTGACAAATGAGAAGGCAACGAAATAGCAGATGATTTCAACATGTTAAATCTTCTCAGGTTTTTCCACAAACACTCAGAGTCACCGACGATTAAATTTTTTTCAAAAAAATATTATAATAGTGAAAACTCTGCTGACTTCTAATCCTTTTATACTTAGTAAATGCTTCATTCCTTAGTTTAATCATTTGCCTGACATTCCAAGTGATCCATGGAAAAGCACGCTTTCTGGTTACCTTAGTAATCACAGGCGCATGAAAATCAAATAAGGATAACATAGTATCATTAAAGCAATTCAGTTTGTCATCAATTGTATAAGATCAAGGACAGCCTCCCAATTCATCAATTGCAGATCCTCATTAAAGGCACGAATGTTAATACCACAGAGATCACGAAAACTAATAACTCTAGCCTTAGACTCAATGAGTACTACATTGATATCGCTACCTCACAAAAAACTGACAAGTGATCCGAGAACCCAACATCGACAGTGGCACAAACACGAAGAAGCAACTCATTTGATATAATAATAACATCAATGAGTGTTTCACAAAGGCAGATCAACAATCTGCCTTATACTAAAAGTATTTAGAGTTGAAAATAAACAATCAGTAGAGGGACCAGGCACCATGAGGTTAATATTCTTTGTGATACAGTTTTTAACTTTCCTGGTACAGATTATCTGTTTCACAGCAAAAACCATATAATAACTTGTAATTCTTTGTGTATCGATATGATGTTTTTATCACCGACTTTTTACATGCAGTTGTTTTGTTACGATTTCAGCTTGGTGATTCATCTTTTTCGAGGTGTTGCTATTTTTTTGGCACGTAGTGTATACAGGGTGTATCTGAATGACTGCAACAAACTTCAAGGGGTGATTCTTTAGTGAATTTTAAGGGTACTTTGATATATGAACCATGGGTGAGTTCGGCTCGCCTAAGGAGCTACACCCCCCCTCCAAAAATGGCAGAAAATTTTGGTTTAACTTTTTTTTCTCAAAAACCATAAACGCTAGGAAAATGAAATTTGGGGAATATGTTTAACTCATAATAGGGCACGTTTTGACCCTATTTGTACTTTCAACCTACTCTTCTAAGGTACTAAACATAACCACCCCCGTTCAATTTTTGTCTAGATTTTTCTTATGACGGTGATAAATACATTGGAAATATTTTATTTAGATAGATGAAAATATTCTAAAACTTTTTTGCCTCTCTGATGTTCTTCGAAAAGTTAATAGTTTCTGAGAAAAAAATTAATTAAGCAAACACTAACTGTTAAGCTGTAGGGTTGTTAATCGAAAGTTGGAATGAATTTTTAATGAAAAAATCTTAGTAGGCTTTGCAATCTTTGTCAGAAATATTTTTGACGTTTAAATATCAGTGGTTTTCTTACTATTATTATTGTTTTATTTAAAATTGTGAAACGTCGAGTGAACGAGCGTAAATGCGATAGAACTTTATTTGAAAAACAATAATAATAGTAAGAAAAACACTGACATTTAAACGTCAAAAATATTTCTGACAAAGATTACAAAGCCCACTAAGATTTTTTCAATAAAAATTCATTCCAACTTTTGATCAACAACCTCGTTGTTTAACGGGCAGTGTTTGCTTTATTATTTTTTTTCTCAAAAATTAGTCGTTTTTGGAAAAATTTTAGAGAGACAAAAAAGTTTTAGGATACTTTCATCTACCTATGTACATTTTTTTAAAATGTATTTACCATCTGCATAAAAAAATCTAGGCATAAATTGAACGGGGTTTGTTACGTTTAGTAGTTAGAAGGGTAGGTTGAAAGTACAAATAGGGTCAAAACGTGCCCTATTATAAGTTAAACATATTCCCCAAATTTCATTTTCCTAGCGTTTATGGTTTTTGAGAAAAAAAAATTAAACCAAAATTTTCCGCCATTTTTGGAGAGGTGTAGCTCCTTAGGGGAGCCGAAGTCCCCCATGGTTCATATATCAAAGTACCCTTAAAATTCACTAAAGAATCACCCCTTGAAGTTTGTTGCAGTCATTCAGATACACCCTGTATAAATTGGTTGCACAGAAAAAGTACTCATTTTAGAAACAGTATAAGTGTGGAAGACTCTTAGATTCTTAGCAACTGGTGAATCTTATCTTAATCCTTTATACTTAGCTTACTAGCTACGAAAGGTACATAAGAAGCTTGTTACTGGTACATAATAGATCAATGGCATAGAACTATGATAGTGTAATACCGGCTTAATTATAATTTTTTTATGAATACAGGTAAATGGACAATTCCAAAAAAAGTATCAATTGCAATATTTCCATATGGATATCATCGAAACCCCGATTTGTTTGAAAATCCTGAAGAATTTATTCCAGAACGATTTAACACCGAAATGGAACCGTTTACTTACCTTTCTTTTAGTTTAGGTCCTAGGAATTGTATTGGACAAAAATTTGCAATTTTCGAAATGAAAGCTATAATTTCAAGGATATTAAGACGATTTGAAATATTACCCGTTGATGGTTACGAACCAATTCCCGTTTCTAATGTTGTTTTAGGGTCTGCAAATGGAATACAAATAAAATTAAAAAAAAGGAAATCTTTATTTCCCTCTAAAACTACATAAAGAAGAATAAAAAATATATCGTTCTTTTTATAAAATTAAAAAATAAAATAAAGAAATTAAAATCTATGTAAATGTCATTTATCCTTTTCCATTTTGCGGCTATCTAAAGCTTTGAAAAATGATTCTTTGTGAATAAAAGAAGGTATCGCTTTTGATAATTCAATAATGCTGATACTATCAGGCGTTGAAATCGTTGATTCAAACCAAGAAGGATCCACTTTTGTTATTCCAGTTAATTGACACATCGTTCGCGAATAAGTTCCCATTGCCATCATTTGAATATTGACTTTTCTCATTGTAACTTTAAGGTTCTTTTTCAAGTTAGCTAATTCAGCTTTTTTCTTGATGTACTCCATAACATCAGGGACTGTGTATTTACTAGTTAATTTTACTAAATCATCATATTTTTCTTGTTGCTTTTCTATAACTAAAGAAGTCGCATCGTAATCTCTATCAAGTCTTTCATAAAAACTATTTGTCCTTAAAATCGTCTCCAAAATTTTATCAAACGTTATTTGTTGCTTTTGTAGAAAATTTTTATGTTTTGATAACATATAGCTTGCCTTTCCGTTTATTTGTTTCAATTCGATTAAATTTTTATTTTTTTCTTCAATACTATCCAAAAAATTTTTATTTGCAATATCTAATTGTACAAAATCGACTTCACTAACAGACACTCCCGATTCTTCTTTTTGAATTAATTGGGATTTTAATTTGTTGTATGTAGTGCGAAGTGAATTTGTTCGTAAACGAAGTTTTTCTAACATTATTTGTGCAAATTTTAACCATTCTTGCATGTATCTAACATAAAAATCTATATTTAAAATTGATTAATTACTAGATATTAGTAGACAAAGAACTAGAAACTTTGTAGTGTTAGTTCTAGTGTTAGTGGTTGTTCTAGTTTTAGTTGTCATTCAGTGCTAGTTTGTTGTATACCTCTATTGAATTAAAACTAGAATTGACACTAGATCTAGAAACTAGAATGTTTCGGGTTTAGCCGTATGTCTCTTAAGACTGCTATTTTCGAATGTTTCTAGTTCTAGGTCTAGTGTTAGTTCTAATGTTAGTGTTAGTTCTAGTTTTAGCTGTTATTCAGTACTACCTTGTTGTATATTTCTATTGAACTAAAAATAGAACTAACACAAGACCTAGAACTAGAATCATTCGGATTTAGCCGCACGTCTCTCAAGACGGCTAAACCCGAATGATTCTAGTTTTAGATCTTGTGTTAGTTCTGGTGATAGTGCTAGTGCAAAACTCGAAGTAACGCTAGACCGAGAACTAGAAACATTTGGATTTAGCCGCACGTCTCTCAAGACGGCTAAACCCCAATGATTCTAGTTCTAAGTATTGTATTAGTTCTAGTGCTGGTGTAAAACTAGAACTAACACTAGACCTAGAACTAGAAACATTCGGGTTTAGCCCCGCGTCTCTTAAGACGGCTAAACCCGAATGTTTCTAGCCGTCTTAAGAGACGCGGGGCTAAACCCGAATGTTTCTAGTTCTAGGTCTAGTGTTAGTTCTAATGTCAGTATCAGTTCTAATTTAAGTTATCATTCAATACTAGTTTTTTGTATACTTCAACTGAACTAAAACTAGAACTAACACTAGACCTAGAACTACAAAGATTCATCTCTAAGACGGCTAAACCCGAATGTTTCTAGTTCTTGCTCTAGTATGAGTTCTTCTATTAATTATTCAAGATTTAAACATTCTTTGTGTTACCTCACAAATTTTTCAGCTGGAATTTTTTGTGTTATTTCTTCAATCCCTTCAATAACAACAACTGTTTCAAAATTATTCCTAGCCTCAACTAATTCGGTATTTCTAATCCCACTTTCCTCAATTTCAGCAATTAATCTATTCTTTTGCAGATGAGTTTTTTTGATAAAACGTTCCAAATTTGTTTGTATATCATCCTGTTCGCGTAACAACAAATCCGTCCGATAAGAATAGTTGATTCTCGGCCCTTTTGCTGCTTTTAAAACTTTTTCGTCCATAACACTTTTTGACACTGCACTTTGAGCATCAATTGGAGCGTTTATTGCTCCGCTGATCCCAGATACTGTTTTATTCGGTTCAGGTTGAGCTTGAGATTGCATTTCTTGGACTTTCGTTAACGTTACGTCCATTCGTTCAATTAAAGCCGGTTCGTTTGCGTTTAAAAAATTAACGAATATACTGTTTTCGGTGTTAATCCGTTTTATTTCCGTTTGCAATCCGCGAACTGTATGTATAAAGTCGTGGTTTGATAGAGTACTTAATGTGTGAAGGGTAACCAATCCAGATTGCGACATTTTATTTAATTGAATGGAAAAGGAATTAAACGGGCACAAATAGAAAAAGTAAAGATGACAACATGACGTTGTCAAAATTTATTTTTATTAATAAGATTTAAAGACGTTTCTCTAATTTAATCCAGATCCCGTTATCTGATTTAAGAACCAAATCGTTTCTCAGTATAACATCTTGGTTTTGATTTACTGGAAGAATGACGAAGTTTCTGAGTAAATTTGCTAAAGTCGCTTTAACTTCTAACATAGCAAATTTTTGCCCTAAAAACAATAAATTAATAATAATTAAAAACAAATATAAATAAAAAATTACCGATGCAGTTTCTTGGTCCAGCGCTGAATGGTATAAAACAAAAAGGCGATCTCCCCTTAGTATTTTCAGGTGAAAATCTTTCCGGGTCAAAAACTTCAGGATCCTTAAAATATTCCGGGTTGCGATGAATTCCCATTGCGTAAATCGTTAACATAATTCCTTTTGGAAGAGTAATATCATCTAAAAATCAAATTAAAATAATCAAATTAAAAAAAGATTTTAATTAAAAAAATTTGATTAACCCATTTTAAAATCTTCAGTTAATTGGCGCCCATAAAGCGGAACTGTTGTGTACAAACGAAGTGCTTCTTTGATAATCATCTCCATATATTTCATTTCTTGAAGATCTGTAAACGTAAAATGCCTTTTGGGATCGTCTTTGAGGATTTCTTCGACTTCTTTGAAAGCTTTTTGTTGGATTTTAGGATTCATTGCTAAAGAGTGTATCGAAAAGGCAATCGTTGAAGCTGTTGTTTCGTGACCCTCAAAAGTAAAGGTATCAACTTCTTCGCGAATATCTTCATCGGTAAACGACGGATCTCCCATTTGATATTCTAATAATAAATCGAGGAAAGCTCGTTTCTTTTTAATTCCAAAATCATCGCGATCATTTCCATTAGAATTTATCTTATCGTTCGAATATAATTCCAAACGTCTCGATTTGATGATTTTTCTTGTATACCCGTGTAAAATTTCCAAATATTTCCTTTCATTAATTGCATCCGACGAAAAATACTTAAACATCGTATCAATTTGGAGAATTGGCGAAAACGAACGTCTAATTACAAGTAATCCCATTTTTTCGACCGTTTTTACATATTCAGAATTTATATCTTCTTGGGCGTTTACACAAGTTCCCATTGCGGTTTCTAAAAAGATTTTTATAAAAAATTTGGTTTGTTTTATTTGTTTTATAGGTACCACAAATAACATCAAGAGCACATCTTGCTATATGCGGATAAACATCGAAACCCTCATTTCCTACTTCTTTCGATAACTTTGAAATTAATCGATCGTGAGATGTGTTGAAGGTTTGAACGAAATCTTCTAAGATTTTGAAATGAAATGCTGGTGTTATGATTTTTCTATTTTTAGCCCATTTTTTACCTAAAATATATTATTTTAAATTAATGTATTGTTATGCAAATTGTTGATGTTTTTATTATTATGGATAAGATTGTAAAAATAGATACATATAGGACTAGTGGTGAAACGGATATCCGGCAACTATCCTATATCCGGCCAGATACCGGATAGTTACCAAATATCCGGCTTCACAGGAATTAGTATCTCTTTTAGGTGTTGGACATTGCAGATAATAATCAAGTTCAACCCCAGTAGGACTTTTTTCTTTGAATACAACTTTATTTATATCAGGTTTACAATTTTATTAGCAACCTCATTGTAACAATCCCAATACGATATATAAAATCTCTTATTGCAGTTTCGTCTACGTTTGTAAGTCATCATCACATTCATTACTAACAGAACTGTCGCAGTTATCACTTTCGATTATTAATTAAAGTATCCTCTTTTTAATGCAAAAAGCCGTTTTGAAAAATCGCTTTTAGTTTTTGAGAAAAAAAATTTTAAAATTATCAACAATTTTTTCGAATTTTGCAATTTTCGCTAATTAAGTTTTAAAAATTCGTATAAAATCCAGTTCTTGGAATAGAAGTATGAAAATTTCCCAACGTGTTAATAAAAGTGTCCTCTTTCCAATGAACTAACACGTTTTGAAAAATAACTTTTAGTTTTTGAGAAAACAATATTTGAAGTTTTGATAAAATTTTCGATGTTGCAATTTTCATCGATAATTTTCAAAATTCGCTATAAAATTAATTTCTTGAAGGATCCTTGTGGAAATATCACCAATTATTAATTAAAGTATCCTCTTTTTAATGCAAAAAGCCGTTTTGAAAAATCACTTTTAGTTCTTGAGAAATAAATTTTTGAAATAATCGACAATTTTTTCGAATTTTGCAATTTTCGCCGATTAAGTTTTAAAAATTCGTATAAAATCCATTTCTTGGAATATGAGTATGAAAATTTCCCAAAGTGTTAATAAAAGTGTCCTCTTTCCAATGAACCAACCCGTTTTGAAAAATAACTTTTAGTTTTTGAGAAAACAATATTTGAAATTTTGATAAAATTTTCGATGTTGCAATTTTCATCGATAACTTTCAAAATTCCCTATAAAATTCATTTCTTGAAGGATCCTTGTGGAAATAGCAGTAATTATTAATTAAGGTATCCTCTTTTTAGAGTTGCTTCTTTAGTTAAATCTATCTATCTATCAGCAATATCAGCATCGATAAAGTTCATTTTGTATCTTGGATCCAAATAAGTTGACATATCTAATCTAAGGTAATTTTATAGAGATAATTTTATAATTTTAATTTGTATAACGTTAGAATGATAATAAAGAATACATTTGAGTTTTAAAGTTTTATTGAATACTGATTATTATTGTTGCCAACGTCAATATCTTTTCAGTAAAAATTATTTTCAAACAGTTTTTATGTATGTATTTTTAAAATCATATATTGCCATTTAATAAGTATAATAAAGGATGAGATGCTACAACGCCATTATTTGAGGTAAAACATAACACAACATAAAAGCCTTACAAAATGTCAATAGCTATGTTATGAGTTGAGTAAGTTTGGGTTATGAGTGGAATAACATTAAGGATAACCTGAATATTGATTGCATAACCAATATTTATGTATGATTAATGATTACGTTTCGATTATTAAAGTACTTTAAAAGATATAAATTATAAACAAACGTTTATTGCAAAACGATGTATAAGGATATGATATATGAGCTGATTGTTTTTCTTTTACTTCCAACCTTGGTTTGTTTAACCCACTTAAGGAAGCGAGAAAATTAAGCAAAAACAAAACACGATCCTTACCATATGAAGTAAGAAGTCCAGAACCAAGCCAATTATATAAAAAATCATAAGGTCGTGACTTTTTCAGTGGAATCGACGAACTTAAGACTTTTTCAAGGTGCTTTGGTTCGCTCATTATAACGTACGGCTGTGACCCGATAAAAATTCGATAGTTCTTCCCTTTAAATTGTTTATGAAATTTTAGAAGAGATTTGACGATTTCTAAAAAACAATTTAGAATACCTTTAAAATTACTTCAGATAATCTAATTACTTACTTGTTGGTGAACTTAAATCTAATGCATTTCCAATGAATGGTAAAACTTTCGGTCCATCGATCCCTTTTAATTTTGAACACTCATTAAAATATTTTAAATAATAAATAAAGAGAGAAACAAAAAATAAAACAACACAAGTTAGTATTACGTCCATCTCAACGTCGAGTAATTTAGTTACTGCTATGTTTCTATATCGCGTCGGAGACTTTGTACGTCGTCTTTTAATGATTTAATGTATAATCTTATATTATGACGTTTTTCATCAATTTTGTGAGAATGACTAAGCATGTTGTGGTTATTATTTCAATGAAAACGGAAATGTTATGGCATACAATGTTAATCATTTATTTAATTTTAGGTTTAATCTTGTACTTATACACGTGGAAAAGATACGTCGAAAATAGATAAGCTTTATAAAAAAATAAAAAATATTGAATAAAAAACAGAACATAAACAGATTTAGATACTTCTTATTTTAGACACAATAATAAAGAAATAATTGTAATTCAAGAAAATTAATTTACAAAGAATTATTATTGACTAAACGTTTCCTCAAAGAAATCATAACACCATTCCTCGATTTTAAAATAACATCCGGTGCAATGGCTGGTTTAAAATTTTCAACAGGTAAAATTTCGTATCTTCTTAATGTTGTGCTTAAAATAGTCTTCATTTCTAACATAGCAAATTTTTGGCCTAAAATATAAATCAAAATTAAATTTAAATTTAATTTTTTCTAAACAAATACTTACCAATACAATTTCTAGGTCCAGCACTAAAAGGTACAAAGCTGTAAGGATGTCGGTTAATGTTATTCTCAGGAAGAAATCGATTTGGATCGAATTTTTCAGGGTCAAAATAAATTTCCGGTTTTCTATGAATTCCGTAAGCCAAAGTAACTAAATGAACGCCCTTTGGAATTAGAAACCCATCTAAAATAAAATTTATTAATAATAAATTAAGATTAAGTAAGTTGTATTGAGTACCAATTTCTATATCTTCAATAGTTTCCCTCCCAAAATAAAAAACAGATGGATAAAGTCTCAAAACTTCTTTAATAACTATTTCTAAGTACTTCATATTTTGCAACTCATTATAAGTAGCGCATCTTTGTTGGTCATCGCCAAATATCTTATATTGTTCCTCAAAAGCTTTCGTTTGCACCAAAGAATTTTGTGATAAAGAATACAAACTAAAAGCTACAGCTGAAGCTGTTGTATCGTGACCTTCAAACATAAAAGTATCAACTTCTTGACGAATTTCTTCGTTACTCAAAGGAACCCCATCGATTTTCGCGTGAAGAAGTAAATCTAAAAATGCCATTCGTTGTTTTCCTTCCTTATTTTCATTGACAAAGTTTTCACGAAGAAGTTCTTCTTTGCGTTTTGAAATAACCGAGTTTGTGTAACCATGCAAAACTTTTAAAGCTTCTGCTTCTTTTTTAAAATCCGAGGAAAAATAATAAATCCAATCGATAAATTTATGAAGGGATATTACTCGTCTTTTTATGATTCGACTCATTTTTTGTACACTTTGGACATATTTTGAGTTTTGGTTGTTTTGGGCATGGACATTAACTCCCATTGCAGCTTCTAAAAATCATGAAGAAGTTGTTTAAAGAAACGTAAAACGAAGAAAACGATTATTACCACAAATTACATCTAAAGTTAATAGGGTGACGTATGGGTAAACATCAAAACTTCCTGAATCGATGTGATTCTTTAATTTCTGCACAAAAATGTTACTTTGACTGTTAAAAACGTTAATGTATTGCTCTAAAATTTGAAAATGAAACGTTGGGGTAAGAATTTTTCGAGTTTTTTTCCATTTTTCAGCTAAAAATAAATAAAAAGTTTTATTTTACATTGATAAAATTGTTTGTATTCAAGGATGGGAAAATCTAAAAGGAGTGCTACATCTGCCAGGAGCTTGTATAGCTCCGGAATAAAAATATCCCTCATTTTAACGTTTTTTAGTGTTTGTAAACACAAAATCTTTTTTATCTCAAGAACCGTTAATGATACAACTGTTAACAAAGAGTACTTCTTTTGTTTAAAATACTTCACAGAATTCAAAAATGTGCTCAAAATTAAAATTGAGTGAGTGGTTTAGATGTTATGGAGCGTAGAATTGCGATAACTTCACTTTTTGTATTGATACTACAAAATCGTTGATATTATAAAAACGGTTTGTGTTACTACTTTTGATGAAAAGCACTATTTTGCGTAAAATACTTGGAGGAATTCAAAAATGTGCTTGAAATGCGAATCTGTGCAGTTTTATAAAATATACAGGCTCCGGAATGAAAATATCGCTCATTTTAACGTTTTTTAGTGTTTGTTAACACAAAATCTTTTTTATCTCAAGAACCGTTAATGATACAACTGTTAACAAAGAGTACTTCTTTTGTTTAAAATACTTCACAGAATCCAAAAATGTGCTCAAAATTAAAATTGAACCAGTGGTTTAGATGTTATGGAGTGTAGAATTACGATGTTTTCACTTTTTGTATTTTTACTACAAAATCGTTGATATCATAAAAACGGTGTGATACTACTTTTAATTAAAAGTACTTTTTTACGTAAAATACTCGGAGGAATTCAAAAATGTACTTGAAATTCGAATCTGTGCAGTTTTATAAAATTTACATACTCCGGAATGAAAATATCCCTCATTTAACGTTTTTAAGTGTTTGTTAACATAAAATCTTTTTTATCTCAAGAACCGTTAATGATACAACTGTTAACAAAGAGTACTTCTTTTGTTTAAAATACTTCCGAGAATTCAAAAATGTGCTCAAAATTAAAATTGAGCCAGTGGTTTAGATGTTATGGAGTGTAGAATTACGATGTCTTCACTTTTTGTATTTTTACTACAAAATCGTTGATATCATAAAAACGGTTTCTGCTACTACTTTTGATGAAAAGCACTATTTTGCGTAAAATAGTTGGAGGAATTCAAAAATGTACTCAAAATTAAAATTGAGCCAGTGGTTTAGATGTTATGGAGTGTAGAATTACGATGTTTTCACTTTTTGTATTTTTACTACAAAATCGTTGATATCATAAAAACGGTGTGATACTACTTTTAATTAAAAGTACTTTTTTACGTAAAATACTTGGAGGAATTCAAAAATGTACTTGAAATTCGAATCTGTGCAGTTTTATAAAATATACAGGCTCCGGAATGAAAATATCCCTCATTTAACGTTTTTAAGTGTTTGTTAACACAAAATCTTTTTTATCTCAAGAACCGTTAATGATACAACTGTTAACAAAGAGTATATTTTTTGTTTAAAATACTTCACAGAATTCAAAATAGTACTCAAAATTAAAATTGAATCAGTGGTTTAGATGTTATGGAGTGTAGAACTACGATGTCTTCACTTTTTGCATTTTTACTACAAAATCGTTGATATTATAAAAACGGTTTGTGCTACTACTTTTGATGAAAAGCACTATTTTGCGTAAAATAGTTGAAGGAATTCAAAAATGTACTTGAAATTCGAATCTGTGCAGTTTTATAAAATTTACATGCTCCAGAATGAAAATATCCATCATTTAACGTTTTTAAGTGTTTGTTAACACAAAATCTATTTTATCTCAAGAACTGTTAATGATACAACTGTTAACAAAGGGTACTTCTTTTGTTTAAAATACTTCACAGAATTCAAAAATGTGCTCAAAATTAAAATTGAGCCAGTGGTTTAGATGTTATGGAGCGTAGAATTACGATGTCTTCACTTTTTGTATTGATACTACAAAATCATTGATATTATAAAAACGGTTTGTGCTCCTACTTTTGATGAAAAGAGCTTTTTTACGTAAAATTGAAATTCGAAAATATTCAGTTATCATGTCTCAAGCAACATTACAAAACACGAATAAAATAAATTAAGCATTTATTAACTCAAAGTGTGAAACATGTATCTGATATAGCAGTCCTCTTTTATCGTTTTTGTTTTGTACTTACGCCCACTTGTTAATAACCCAGTTCCAAGCCAACGATGAAAAAACTTGTATTCCCAAGATTTATTTAACAGTTTATTTGATGATAAAACAAGTTCAGCTTTTTCAGGATCGCAAATTAATAAGAGATGTTTACCGAAAATGTGCATCTTCACAACGCCTCCATATTCGTGCGCTGTTTTTGTTAAAAGAGGCAAAACAACTAAAATTTATTATTTTAATTTAATATTGTCGTAATTTTGTGTTAACTTACTTTTAGGGTCTTTAAAATAATTCACGTGCCCAATAATTTTAGGACAACTCGGAGAGGGAACATTTTTTAATATATTTTTTACTCGAAATACTTCGCGAATATATTTAAAAATAAAAATTTTTATAATAACCAAAAGTAATAAGAAAACAACACTCATTTTATTATAAACTTAGCACAATTTAAACTCACTTAATCCTTTAAATTTTTTTTAAATAAAAATAATACGTATTAAATTTTGAGCCCTCGCCCACGTTGAACTAAATGATTTTACAACCTCATTTTCAAAAGGTAATTAAAAACCTTTAATAACACTTTCTCGCTTTCATTTCAACAGAAATTTAAAGTATTCTTAGAATTTCTTTTAATACATTATTAATTATTTAAAAGTAATCCTATTCTAAATCACTAAATATTTTCGGTACATCTTAACCGAAGTTTAACTTCGATTCCTTTCATGGGTTTTAATATTAAATCCGGCAACCAAATCGGCTCGAATTCAGGAACTTCCAAAATCTGAAAATGCCTCAACACTTTTGAAATTGTCGCTTTCATTTCTAACATAGCGAAACGTTGTCCGATACAATTTCTTGGACCAGCGCTAAACGGGATGTAACTAAAAGGACCTCTTGAGTTCTGATTCTCTAGTGTAAAACGTTCGGGATCAAATTTTTCCGGATTTGGATAAATCGTTGGATTTCTATGAAGACCCCAAGCAAAAATTATACAACTCACATCGGTCGGAATTATACTCGAACCTAAAAATGAATACAAATTTTAAATAATTGATGCGGAAAATGATACGGTAAGGTAAATAACATGGTACTTTTCTTATTTGTAAAGTTGAAAATTTAATAATAATCTGTTATTTGCGGTAACAATATTAATGGGTGAGTTTAAAGAGGAAATTGTTAATGAAAAATAAAGTTGTTTATATTTTTACCTATGATTGTATCTTCAACTACTTTTCTCCCATAAAATGGTACTGATGGGTATAATCTCAACGTTTCTTTAATCACCATTTCCAAATATTTCATATTTTGTAAATCATTGAACGTGACGGGTCGAGATGTATCATCATTGAAGATATCTTTAAGTTCTTCTATTACTTTTTGCTGAAAAACGAAATATTTTAAATTAAATTAATAATAACTATATTATGTGAATTTTTCATTATTACCGTAATTTCTAATACAAAAGTTTTATTTTAACAGTAAGTTAAAAAAATCTTCATTAAAACCTGACTAAAGTCCAATAACAATTAAAACTAGAACTAACACTAGAACTAGAACTGGAAATATTCGGGTTTAGCCGCACGTCTCTTAAGACGGCTAAACCCGAATGTTTCTAGTTCTAAGTCTAGTGTTTGTTCTAGTTTTACACTAGCACTATCACTAGAACTAACACAATACTTAGAACTAGAATCATTGGGATTTAGCCGTCTTGAAAGACGTGCGGCTAAATCAGAATGATTCTAGTTCTAGGTCTTGTGATAGTTCTAACGATAGTTTACGAAAGATATTCTTTTCTTGTGAGTTAATATGAAAGCTTTAGACTTCTTTGGGGATTTACACTTTATGGGAGTTAATTTAGGTACACTTTGATGGTTAACAAAGTTAAAAATTATTATTATTTACTTACTTGAACTTCTGGATTTTTAGCTAAACAATAAAAAGCACAACTAATAGCAAAAGCTGTTGTATCATGACCCTACAAAAACATAAAAATCAATAAAAATGTCTTAGATTAAACAAATTTGATTACTTCAAACATAAAAGTATCAACTTCCTGCCTTATTTCATCATCAGTCATCGGTCTGCCATCCAAACTCGATTGCAAAAGAAGATCTAAAAACGCCAATCTCTTCCTTTTCTCAACATTTTTTTCCCCAGTATTGTTGTTTTTAAGCAATTCGGTACGCCTCTTTTGTATGACCGAGTTGGTGTAATCGTGCAAAACTTTAAGTGCGTTTCGTTCGATTTTATAATCTTCGGTCAGATAATAAAACAAATTGAACATTTTAACCGGCGAAAATAAGCGCTCCCTCAAAACCCGACTCATTTCTTTTACGTTCAGCACGTATTTCGAATCCGAATTTAGTTGGGCGTTCACTTTCGTTCCCATCGCCGTTTCGCAAATAACATCCAAAGCGCATAACGTAACGTGATCGTAAATGTTTACCTTCTTTTTTTCTTTACTTTTTAAAATGTCTATTAAAATGTCCGAGCACGAATCGAAAATGTCGATGAATTGCTCGAGGATTTGAAAGTGAAACGTTGGGGTGATTATTTTACGGGTTTTTTTCCATTTTTCAGCTTCAAAAAGAAAAAAAAAGAAGTTAAAACGTTTTTTTTTTGTTTTAAATATAGGTTGTGTAGTTTCATAACACTTTAGAATCTGTGTTATGTTAATAAATAATAACCTTAACCACGACAAACATCAAGGTTAAGGTGACTTAATGATTGCGGAAATTCCCAGTTAAAGAGATTGTTAATTAATAACTTTATGGTATATGTAGATGTTTTATCAACGTCATTAATAAGTTTTATGTAAAAAAGATTCACTTACGTTCACTTGTTAATAACCCAGTTCCAAGCCATCCCCTGAAATACTCGTATTCTTCAGATTTGTGTAAAACTCTAGTTGTGCTTAAAATAGCTTCAATATGGTCGTAATCTGATATTAAAACAGATCTGTACCATAACATTCTATATACTAATAAACCACCGAGTTCTGTAGCATCTTTTTGGAATTTTTCAAGGATTTCTAAATGACAAAATAAAATTAATAACAAAAATGCAATCAAATCCACGTTAATTTATATTTAATTCGTTAAATTATCCAAAATCGGTGTAGCAACACCCTAAACTTTCACGGTTTGTGTAATTTTGAGAGTGGATTTAGAAAGGTTTTGAATTTATTTAAGTCAATTAAAATTGATACATTTTTAATGTTAAAGTTAATGTAAACGATTTAGATACATTTTTGCGTTATTAAACAAGAAATTATGAATCATATTACAAAATAAATGATAACAGAAGATAATCCATAAAAAAAAACAGATTTTTCCTTAGTTTATCAATTAATAGTTAAGAGTTCAATGATAAATTTTGTTTTTGTTAACAATTTTAGAGGTTCAACTTTGAACTTTATATCTGAAAATAATTGAACTAAGAATGATTCATAAGTGTTAATTAATTTCTTTGAGAAAAATGATCGCCCTATTACTGGCAATAACAAGTCGCTTTGTCCTTGTCCATTTATACGCATTCACCGGCTGCTTAATGCACCAAATAATACCACAACATTACCGTTCTCTTTTGCAATCCACCTTTGTAATATGGGAACTACTCTATTTATTTCAAATTTTTTCCCAATCAAAAAAATGAAGAATCGCATTTTATTTCGTTTAAATTAAATTATAAGGGTTAAATCGAATTTAAAATATTTTATTTACTTACTACTTGGATGCATTGCAAAATCTAATGTATTTCCCAATAAAGGTATTCCTTTTGGGGTTGGTACATTTTCCAAAACTTTCCATATCCTGCTATGTTTCAAATAAAATTTCACGAACAAACCAATTAAAAAGACCGCGATTAGGATGTGATACATTTTATGTACTTAGAATGCAACATGCAACTACCGACTGTGCGTTGGTTTAGATAACTCGTTGTATTTAAATTGAAATGAGGCTGTAAGGTAAAATGATCGAACAGGAGTTTACTCTCGAAGTCCTTCGAGATCATAAATAATTTTTTCTTTTAGAATAATAAATTTTATTTTAAACGTTTTAATCTAATCTATGAAATATAATAACTGAAAATGTTAATCACATTAATAATCAAATACAATTTTACAAATTTTACAAATCTAAAAATCCCTGTGTTCTAATCGTACATTAACCCCGTTAAGCGATTTCAAAATTGCGTCTGGAACTAAAATCGGCTCAAATCCCTTTACGGGATGTATTTCAAAATTTCTTAACACTTTAGCGATCGTCGATTTCAATTCCATCATTGCAAACCTTTGTCCAATACAATTTCTTGGACCTGCACTAAATGGAATGTAACTAAAAGGACTTCGCGTTTGTTGATTCTCTAAAGTAAATCGGTCCGGATCGAATTTTTCTGGGTCGGGATAAATGGTTGGATCTCTATGAAGAATGTAAATTGAGATTCCTAATGTTGCTCGTCTTGGTATTAATCCACCAACTAAAACAAAATTATAATAATAAGAATAAGAAAACAACATACTAAGTAACATGTGCAAATACACTACTAAGTACAACGAAGAAGTCATAATATCTATTCTTCCGGTAATGTCAAAGATTTTTGAGAAGCAGATTAATAAATCAGTACTTCTATATAGCAGGCCAAAAAGAGTGAACTGGACTAAGTTGATAGCCATGATATTTATAACCATAATCCAGGCAAATTCTAATTGAAATCCTATTTATTACTCTATTTTTGCACAAGATGTGGATATGTCATCAACAGCCCAAAACGTACCTATCAGCAATTATCTATAATGTAAATAATGGTTCCATAAATAGTTCCTAACAAATTCTTCCAACAATGATAACCAAATGTTGTGAATTTGATTTCATTCGGCAATCATTTACCTGTACCGACTTATCAATACAAGTCAGGTCAAAAGTGAATGTTCCAAGTTATATAAGCAAGTTATATTAACTTGCTATATCATGAACACTTATTTTGTTGCTTCCATATACATGTGTATTGTATCTAGATAATAAAGTGGCGATAATGTGATGTGACAAGAAACGTCTTTCTTTCTGATTTTTATTCCAGACACCTCTTGGAACAACCTATTGGACCTTGGAACAAAAATCGGAGAAAAAGATTTTCTTGTCACATCATATTTACGAATTAATCTTAAAAAGTGTGATGGAAACGAAAATTCACCAAACAGAAATAAGCTAAATAAAGTTAAATAATCTCTATAAAGTTGAGACTTGTATGGTGGTTCAATGACTTTGTAAAAGAAAACTACAATAATTTGGACTCAGTTTAAATTGAGCAAACACAAACATTTTTGACAAGATATCTGTTTATTATGACTACCTATCAAATCTCATAGCCTTATCAAGATTTATACTTTCTAAGAACAATAAAGGAATCCAAAAAAGTGAAAAAATCAATATCTAAAGCAGCCATCATTTATATCATTAAAATTTTTTTAACTTACAATATGCAGTATCAGAAGTTGCTTGTCTTGAAATAAAAGGAACCGGCGGATATAATCTCAAAGCCTCTTTAATAACCATCTCTAAATATTTCATTTCATTCAATTCCTCATAACTAGGCATTCGATTTTTATCATCGCCAAAAATCGTTTTTAATTCTTCGACAACTTTATCTTGAACTTTTTGGTTTAATCCCAAACAGTACAAAGTAAAAGCGGTCGCCGAAGAAGTTGTATCGTGTCCTTCAAACATGAAAGTATCAACTTCCTCGCGTATTTCCTCATCGGTCATCGGACGTTCGTTAATCGTCGACTCCAAAAGTAAATCTAAGAAAGCTAATCGTCTCTTTTTAGTGGTTTCGATTTTGATGTTTTTGCTGTCTTTTAAAGCTTGGCGACGTTCTTTGATTACGGCGTTAGTATGGCCGTGCAAAACTTTTAAAGCTTTTCTTTCCTTCATGTGAGCGACGGAAAAAATATAAAATATATTGATTATAGGGAAAAAAATTCTTTTACGAATTATCTTGCTTATTAACTGGACGCTTTTTACGTATTCTGAATCGGATTTTTCTTGGGCATTAATTTGAACACCCATAGCAGATTCTAAAAAGATGTTTTTAATTTCTTTTATAATATTTTAAAACCAAATAATACCACAAATAACGTCTAAAGCGCATAAAGTTACGTAAGGATAAATATCAGTGTCTTTTCCAACTTCCTTTTTAAGTTTACCAATTAAAATATTACTCGCTGAGTGATAAATTTCTATAAATTGTTCTAAAATTTGGAAATGAAAAGTTGGAGTTATGATTTTCCGGGTAATTTTCCATTTTTCAGCTTTAAAAAAATGATGATATAATTTTTTTTAATCTAAAGTGGTTTTAATTTTATTTTTACCTCCAGCTGTTAATAATCCAGTTCCTAACCATCTTGATAAGAACAAGTACTCTCTACCTTTCTCCAAAAATTTCGTTCCATTTAAAATCATTTCGATTATTTTAACATCAGTGATCAAAAATATATTTAAAATAAATAGAAAACAGAATCGTATAAACCCACCATGTTCGCGTTGAAGATCTGTTAATTGATCTAAAATTTCTAAAAAAAAATACAATTTTTATTTGATTGATAAAGATTTTTAGTTAGATTACGTTTCGGGGCCTTCATAATTGTAATATGACCCAAAAATGGATAAGAAGGTGGCGAAGACACATCTTTAAGGTAATAACTCAAGTAAATTGCTCTTAAAACGTAAGCTACAAGCAAAAGAACTCCAAGAATTTTTAATAAATAAATTAAAACTTCAATTAACATTATTTTAAAATTCGTGATACAATATGAAATAGAACTGAGGGCCACTTTTGAAGAGTTATCTGTATTTATAAGATGGTGATAAGAAATTTTTAGGCAAGGCGATAATAACAATAACATTTAGAGATGGTTTTAAGATTTGATATAAATAAGATTGGTAATATTTTAGGAATATTTGTAAATAATTATGAATAATACACAAGGTTCCATTTCCTTAGATTAATTCATAATTTTGTAAATATAAAACATTTCGAAACTATTACGTCTAAATTAATGTTTGTGCTGAATTAATTACGAACTAAAATTTATTTCAGGTTCACTTGAAGTTAAATTGACGTCGATTTCAAGCAAAATGTTTATAAAATCGTTGCGTATTAATAATTACGTTACGATTATTTTATTTGAAAATTAATCCCATGTTAGTTTTTACATTTTTAATAAAGGGGTTATTATTACATAATAGAGAGAAACCTTTACTTTGCAATTTTTAGGTTCATTTGAAAGTATAGCCGGCTGAACTTGAGATTTTTTCAATAAAAAATCGTATATTTTCAGTCAAACCAAGGTGGAATAGTGAAAGCTTTACAATGTTAAATGTAATTGTATAAAGGAAAATAATTTAATATAAAAAATAAATTAGTAATTTGTTTCATTAGAAAGAATATAGATGATTGAGTTGAATTTAACATTAATAATACGTATTTAATTTATAATAATTAACTTTTAACGCTGCCAACAAGAATATTTCTATAAAATTCTGTTCTTCTTAATCATATCTTGGTTTAATTGCGTCTCAAGTTTACAAAACAAATGTAATCATCTCTTTCGTCATTGCTTTGTTTTTTCATTATTATTTTTGATGATTGTTATTTCTACAAACAATCAATCTTCTTAATTAATAATTTTAATAGCAATAACTTTTCATATCGTAGTGAATAATACTAGCATATAACAATAAAACCACTAACAATAAAAACTAAGTTATTTTTCAAAATGGGTTTTCAATTTTCAAAATTGTCGATTATTTTAAACATTTATTTTTCAAGAACTAAATGTGATGTTTCAAAACGGTTTTTTGCATTAAAAAGAGGATACTTTAATTAATAATTGGTGATATTTCCACCAGGATCATTCAAGAAATGAATTTTAAGCGAATTTTGAAAATTATCGATGAAAATTGCAACATCGAAAATTTTATCAAAACTTCAAATATTGTGTTTTCAAAAACTAAAAGTTATTTTTCAAAACGGGTTGATTCATTGGAAAGAGGACACTTTTATTAACATTTTGGGAAATTTTCGTACTCATATTCCAAGAAATCGATTTTATACGAATTATTAAAGTTTAATCGGCGGAAATTGCAAAATTCGAAAAAATTGTCAATTATTACAAACATTTATTTCTCAAGAACTAAAAGTGATTTTTCAAAACGGCTTGTTGCATTAAAAAGAGGATACTTTAATTAATAATTGGCGATATTTCCACAAGGATCCTTCAAGAAATGAATTTTATAGGGAATTTTGAAAGTTATCGATGAAAATTGCAACATCGAAAATTTTATCAAAACTTCAAATATTGTTTTCTCAAAAACTAAAAGTTATTTTTCAAAACGGGTTGGTTCATTGGAAAGAGGACACTTTTATTAACACTTTGGGAAATTTTCATACTCATATTCCAAGAAATGGATTTTATACGAATTTTTAAAACTTAATCGGCGAAAATTGCAAAATTCGAAAAAATTGTCGATTATTTCAAAAATTTATTTCTCAAGAACTAAAAGCGATTTTTCAAAACGGCTTTTTGCATTAAAAAGAGGATACTTTAATTAATAATTGGTGATATTTCCACAAGGATCCTTCAAGAAATTAATTTTATAGCGAATTTTGAAAGTTATCGATGAAAATTGCAACATCGAAAATTTTATCAAAATTTCAAATATTGTTTTCTCAAAAACTAAAAGTTATTTTTCAAAACGGGTTAGTTCATTGGAAAGAGGACACTTTTATTAACACTTTGGGAAATTTTCATACTTCTATTCCAGGAACTGGATTTTATACGAATTTTTAAAACTTAATCGGTGAAAATTGCAAAATTTGAATAAATTGTTGATTATTTCAAAAATTTATTTCTCAAGAACTAAAAGTGATTTTTCAAAACTGCTTTTTGCATTAAAAAGAGGATACTTTAATTAATTATTGGCGATATTTCCACAAGGATCCTTCAAGAAATGAATTTTATAGCGAATTTTGAAAGTTATCGATGAAAATTGCAACATCGAAAATTTTATGAAAACTTCAAATATTGTTTTCTCAAAAACTAAAAGTTATTTTTCAAAACGTGTTGGCTCATTGGAAAGAGGGCACTTTTATTAACATTTTGGGAAATTTTCATACCCATATTCCAAGAAATCGATTTTATACGAATTATTAAAATTTAATAGGCGAAAATTGCGAAATTCGAAAAAATTGTCGATTATTTCAAAAATTTATTTCTCAAGAACTGAAAGTGATTTTTCAAAACGACTTGTTGCATTAAAAAAAGGATACTTCAATTAAAAATTGGTGATATTTCCACAAGGATCCTTCAAGAAATGAATTTTATAGCGAATTTTGAAAATTATTGATGAAAATTGCAACATCGAAAATTTCAAATATTGTTTTCTCAAAAACTAAAAGTTATTTTTCAAAACTTGTTGGCTCGTTGGAAAGAGGACACTTATATATCCTATTGGGATTGTTACAATGAGGTTGCTAACGACAAACCTGATATAAATAAAGTTGAATTCAATTAAAAAAGTCTTATCTGTATAAAACTATATCATTTTCAATCTACATACATTTGCTTTGTTATTTTGACAAAAAATCGTAACTCTATGTTGCTTGGATTACTTACTACTTTATTGTATTTATGAGAAAGCAGTATCTCCATTTTTCAATGAAGTAAAGAATTGTATCTCCAAAATCTAGAAAGCAGATTTTAAAAAAATACTGGAGTGATGAGAAGAATTGGGATATAAAGAGTGATGATAGAGAAGCAGATAGTAGGTATAAACTAAAAAAATATGTTAAAGAAGGAAGTAAAAAAATCCAAGGGTAAAACGAAGGTTATAAGATATATATTATAGATTTACAAAAATTTCTGCCCACTCCATACTTATCAAATAACCAAAGTTTTTATTATCTTAAGCTATTGACTTTAAACTTGACTATTTATGAATTGGAACTTTTTAACCAACCCAACCCAACGCATCCAACCACAAGTATGGACACAATTTTTAACAAATATGATTTTCTGGTGAATAAGATGAGCAAAATGGAAAATGGTATATTCTCCGATGTTTTATCTCTCAATCCTTGTTGATAAATTTGTCACCATAAACGGTTTAACTTAACTCTTAACTAATAAATAAATAAATTTTATCTGATTAATTTAAATTAAGTTTAATGTTTCTATTTTTTAATAATTAATTTAAAAATTATTTATATTAACATTATAAGTATTCACAGCTGTAAATAACCGTTAATTTCTTGGAATTAATCTAACCTTTAATCCGTTATAAGGTTTAAGGATTAAATCAGGTAACCATTCTGGTGTAAAATCAGGAGCTGAGACAACTTCAAAGTTTCTTAAAACCTTTGAAATCGTGGATTTCATCTCTAACATAGCAAATCTTTGTCCTATAAAAAAATTATTTGTTTATTTACTTTTATCTGAAATAACAAATTACCAATGCAATTCCTTGGTCCTGCGCTAAAAGGAATGTAACTAAAAGGTCCTCTTTCGTTTTGGTTTTTTAATGTAAACCTTTCAGGATCGAATTTTTCAGGATCAGGATAAATTTTAGGGTCTCTATGAAGACCCCAAGCGAAAATCGTGCATGTTACTGAAGAAGGAATGGTTGTCGTACCAATTTGGGTTTCTTCTAAAGCTTTTCGCCCATAAAATGGAACCGAGGGGTAAAGTCTTAACGTTTCTTTTATCACCATTTCTAAATATTTCATGTTTTGCAAATCTTCGTAGGTTACAGTTCTAAATTTATCATCACCGAAAATTTCGATTAATTCATCAACAACTTTTTGCTAAAAATTTAATATAAAAAATTTGTTTACAATCTAAAATAATATAAAGAACTTACTTGAATATCTGAATATTGACTTAAACAATATATAGTACAAGCGATTGCAAAAGCGGTTGTGTCATGACCCTAAAACAATTAGTAAATATTAAAATTGAAATAAAATTTATTTTTATTTAATACTTCAAACATAAAGGTATCAACTTCTTGTCTTATTTCATCATCAGTCATGGGTCTATCATCAATTTTTGATTGCAATAATAAATCTAAAAACGCTAATCTCCTCTTTTTACCAACATTTTCAGTTGAGTTAAGTAATTCATCTCTTCTCTTACGAATAACTGAGTCGGTGTATTCGTGTAGTTCTTTAAGAATTTGTTTTTCTAACCAATAATCTTTTGTAAAAATATATGTGAAAAATAAGATTTTAAAAGGTTCGAAAAGACGTCCTCTTATAATTCTACTGATTTCTTTTACATTAGTAACGTATTTTGAGTGAGAATTTAATTGGGCATTGACTTTAGTTCCCATTGCACTTTCTGATATAAAAAGAATATTATTGGAATTACACAGTTTTTTTTTATATACATATTAATTACCGCATATAACATCTAAAGCACACAAAGTTGAATGTTCATAAATATCCACGTTGGTACCTTTGGGAATTTCTTTTAATTTTTTAATTAAAATGTTAGAACAAGAATCAAAAACATCGATAAATTGTTCAAGGATTTCAAAATGAAATGTTGGGGTGATAATTCTTCTAGTTTTTTTCCACTTTTCAGCTAAAAAAATCGATATAACATTTATTTTTTTATAAATCAAACATTAATTAATTAGCATACGTCCACTTGTTAATAAACCAGTTCCTAGCCATTTATGAAGATATTCATATTCCTCAGATTTATCTAAGACTTTAGTTGTACCTAAAATAGCTTCGATATGATCATAATCAGAAATCTGAAGTGATTGCATCCAAAAGAAATTGTATTTTACTAATCCGCCGAATTTTTTAGCATGATCACACATCTTTGGAAGGAGTTCTATACAAGAGTAGATTATTACAATGAAAATTAAAGTAGACAACAATCAATATAATATAATCTTACTGGTTGGATGAATCGCAAATTCTGCAACACTTCCAACAATTGGAACACCTTTCGGGCCAGGAATATGTTCTAAAAGTTTCCATTTTCTTTTCTNTGGTGTAAAATCAGGAGCTGAGACAACTTCAAAGTTTCTTAAAACCTTTGAAATCGTGGATTTCATCTCTAACATAGCAAATCTGTTAAATAAAATTTAAATAACAATCCTAAAACTATCGCGACAACGAATGTAGCGAACAACATACTGTTTGAAGACGAGAATGTTGTATGTGTTGACTGGAGTAGTGACGAATTTGTTAACGCGGAACATTAGATAAGATAATAGATAGAACATGATGCAATAGATACAAGGTCTATCAGACATGACCTTATCTGATAAAAATAATCAAAATCACTTTATTTTATAGTCAAACTAAAAATTAATGTAAATTTTGTTTTGTTTTCCTTAAAAAGTATATTACGCAAAATATTGAGGAAAATCTTAAATAATGTTTCAGAAAATGTTCAGGTATGATTTTCGTGCCGAATCATTTATTCTAACGATTTAGAATTTAGATAATGTAGATAGTAATCTATAAAAACTAACTTTGATCCAGACAGAAAAATAAAATAAAAATCAATATTTATTTATTTGTTTTAATAAATTTTTTCGGCTGCAAAAAGCTTTATTGGCTTAGTAACGACTGAATGAATCATGTAATTACAAAATATTTGATACCAAAGTTCTAATATTATTAATTCTTATCAATGAAGAACAAGTTAATGTCTTTCTTATCAATATTTTAATCCATAAATACAGTTTATTTCGATAATTTGCATGAGTTGAATCTTAACTTCTGAGAAAATTGAAATTTAAAAATGTTTTACGCCACTCTTATAGCCATTTTTTTAATAGAATGGGTTGTAAGATTTTTAATGATACAACGAAAATATATTAAACAACTTGAACATATCCCTGGACCCAAAGGAGTACCAATATTTGGAAACGGTTTTGATTTTTCTGTTCTAAGTTCTAAAAAAAATTTGATACTTAAATTTGAATTCGATGTCATTTTTTTATAGAAATTCTGCAAAAATTATATGATGATACCGTTAAATACTTTTATTGATGTCAAATTACGATGATGTTGAAGCTGTTTTGAGCACGACAAAAATTTTGGATAAATCTGCTCAATACGACCTTCTTTTATAAATGTTTATAAAAAACTATTCATTTCAAAATAAAAATACATTTCAATTTCATTTTTAGCTGAAAAATGGAAAAAACAAGAAGAATCATCACACCAACTTTTCACTTTGAAATTTTAGAACAATTTATTGACATTTTTGATTCATGTTCTAGCGTTTTCGTAAAGAAATTAAAAGAGATACCCCAAGGATCTAAAGTGGATATTTATGAGCGATCAGCTTTATGTGCTTTAGATGATATTAGTGGTAAATTCAAATTAAATTTTTATCATAGTTATTTATTTATTCTTTTATAGAAACTGCGATGGGGACTAAAGTTAATGCACAATTAAATTCTGAATCCAAATATGTAAGAAACGTGAGAGATGAGCATGATTTTAAGAGAACGTCTTTTTAAAGCGCATAAAATATTTAATATTTCGTATTATTTTACGAGTGATTATAAAAGAGAAAAACCAATTTTAAAAGAACTCCACGAATATACAGAATCTGTAATTGAAATTAGCTGTTGGTAAAAAGAAAAGATTGGCGTTTTTGGATTTATTGTTGCAATCTAAAATTGATGACCGACCAATGACTAATTATGAAATTCGTCAAGAAGTTGATACATTTATGTTCGAGGTAAAAATCTATAACAAATTTCTTTTATCTATATAATTTTAATTTTTGTTTTGTTTTCAGGGTCATGACACAACAGCTTTTGCAATCGCAGCTACTTTATATTATTTAAGTATAAACCGACAAATTCAGGTAATAATTAACAAAGTACTAATTATTGCTTAAAAAACAAATTATTTATGTAGACAAAAGTTGTGGAAGAATTAAACACAATATTCGGCGATGATAAACACAGAGCCATATCACACGAAGATTTGCAGAACATGAGGTATTTAGAAATGGTTATTAAAGAAGCTTTAAGATTGTATCCATCTGTACCATTTTTTGGAAGGAAAGTTCTAAAAGAAACCAAATTAGGTAACACAAAAAAAATAAAATAAATTATTTGATTCTTAACAATCTTAAAATGCAAAGGTTTTTTGCAATTTTCACATGGGCTCTTCACAGAAACCCAAAACTTTATCCTGACCCGGAAAAATTTGACCCAGAAAGATTTTCTCCTGAAAATCAAACTAGTAGAGATCCTTTCAGTTATGTTCCATTCAGTGCTGGACCAAGAAATTGTGTTGGTAAATAACTTTTAATTGAATAATTTAAAATGTTCTCTTAAAAAATATTTTTTAGGACAAAGATTCGCAATGTTAGAAATGAAATCAACCATTTCAAAAGTATCGAGACACTTTGAAGTTCTCGAATCAGAAGGTTTTACTCCAGAATGGTTGCCGGATTTGATTCTTAAACCATATAATGGATTAGAAGTTAAGCTAGCTTCTGGAAATTAATTAATTGATTATGTGAATCTACCTCTTATTGTTAAATTATTTTCTAACTTTATCTTATTATTTCAGGCGCATTAAATCTTCATTAAATTTGCTTTAAAGTGCTTCTTAATTCATAACTATATCTCAATTAGTTTTTGAGACACATCAAAATTAGTTATCCTAACATTTATGTTTAAGGTTATGCAAGGTTGCAATCAAAAAATCATACCTCCGAAATTTGAAGACTCAAAGAAATGACCTTCAATACATTAAATACTAAATAAATTTACTTTAAATTGTTTTTTGTTTCATGATAATATCTCAATTAGTTTTTGAGATACGATTTTTTTAATATTTACTCTTAAAGCTTAATAATCAAACACGCCAAGTTGGGTTTAAAAATTCATAACAACGATGTTTATGGAAAATAAAAAAATATTCATTGCACATTAAATCTACATTAAATTTGCTTTAAACTACTTTTTAGTTTATAACGATATCTCAAATAGTTTTTAAGATACGTAAAGATTAGTTATCCTAATATTTATGTTTAATGTTATGCGAGGTTGCAATCAAAAAATCATAACTCCGAAATTTGAAGATGCGAAGAAATGATCATCAACATATTAAATACTAAATAAATTTCCTTTAAATTGTTTTTTATTTCATGATGATATCTCAATTAGTTTTTGAGATACGATTTTTTTAATATCTGCTCTTAAAACTTAATAATCAAATATGCCAAGTTGGGTTTAAAAATTCATAACAACGATGTTTAAAGAAAATAAAAAATTATTTATGGCACACTAAATCTACATTAAATTTGCTTTAAAATTTTCTTTATTTCATGTTGATATCTCGATTCGTTCATAAGACACGTTTTTTTTTAAATTTATATTTCATTGTATTTGTGATACGTGAAATAATCATTTAAATTTAAAAAATTACCGTTATCAATCATGTATTTCTCCAATTCTTTTAAATTTATCCATTTAACACCATTTTAATTAAATCCAATCCTTTTAAAAAGATGTTATCAAATTTAACGTTTCAAAAAAGATAAATTAAAATCCCCACATTGATAAAGTATTAGGTATAAATGACCATAACTTTCATTAGGATCATCACACCCAGTTCATTTTTGGTTTAAAGATGTTCTACATTACATTATTTTTTACTCTTCTTCTTTCAATCGGCATTTTTGGTAAAATTCTTCTTTCGATTAAAATAATTCCTTCATAAAAACGTTTTTATTTATTTTAGCTAACCAACATCTTAGAATGTTTCCATTTCCCGATGGAAGAATCGTTGGTGGTGAATCAGTAAATATTGAGGATTATCCATACCAAGTTCAACTATTATATTGGGAACTCCACATTTGTGGCGGATCGATAATTTCTTCGAGATACATCGTGACAGCTGCTCATTGCACAAACGGAACTGTAGCTTCGGAGTTATCAATCAGATATGGAACATCAATCAGAAATGATGGAGGTGATATTGCTCAAGTTGCAACTTTATATCAACATCCGGAATACGATGAAGAAACCGCCGATTTTGATATTTCGTTATTAAAGCTTGGGGAAGACCTACTATTTGCAGATAAAGTCCAACCTATCAAATTACCTAGTTTAAATGAGGCAATTCCTGTTGGAGAATTATGTGTTGTTACTGGATGGGGTAGATTAGAACATAACGGAGTTCCCCCTTTACAACTTCAAGCTGTTAGAATTCCGATAATTACTTTGGAACAGTGTAGAGAGGCTTATGCTGTTAGGAATTTAACAGTTAGTGATCGTATGATTTGTGCTGCTTATCCAAGTGGGGGAAAAGATGCTTGTCAAGTAAGATTGATTTATTTTGAGTACCAAAATTAAAATTTATCATTTACAGGGTGATTCTGGTGGCTCATTAGTTGTTGATGATGTTCTTTTTGGAATTGTTTCGTGGGGAATTGGTTGTGCAGATCCTAATTTTCCAGGAGTTTATGCAAGCGTTTCTGCTCTTCGATCATATATCACAGAAATTTCAGGAATATAATTTTTTTACATAAATAAAAAGCTTAAATTGATAAATAAATCTATTTGAGTAAACAAAAAATATATAAATCTAATTCGATGTAACTTCAACTTCATCATAATAATTTTGATTCTCACCCGAGCACATAAGCAAAAAAAATAAAAGGACAAGTATAGCGAAACCAGCGGTTACTAAATAAATAATAAACCAAGAATTAATGTCCAAACCATCACCGATAATCGCACCGACAAATATAGGTACAACTATACCGGAAACTGTACCAACTGTGTTTGTTAAAGCCATTAAAGTTGCTGCGATTTTTGGGCCGATATCGACATGGTTCGATAACCAACCGCAATAAGTTCCGCCAAATGCCATATAAATGAGTATACATAATACGATGCCTAAAGTAGTGTGGCAACCAACGAAGGCCATGATACAAAAGAACGTTGACATGGGACCATAACTAACTATCGTAGCTATTCTCTTAGACGTTGTTTGTGTGTAATTTTTATATTTTCTTAAATAATCCAGAGTTCTTCCTAAAGCTATGCTAAATATCCAACTTGCAGTACCACCACTTGCTATGTAAATAGTGATGTAATCCATATCTACTTGAAAAACTTTATCCATGTAAATAGCTAAATCTGTTGCAAGAAAATACCCAACCCAATTTGCGCAACCATGAGTGATAACTAACCCCCAAAAAGGTATCGATTTAAATATCCTTTTCCAATAGATAACGATTTTCTTTTTATACCCTCCTTTTGTGTCCCCCAACGAGTTTAAAATCATTTCGAGTTCTTCTTGATTTATTAAGTTAGACTTTTCGGGAAAATCAGCAAGAAAAACAACCCAAGCTATTAAATACGGTACACAAGCACCACCCATCACGTAAAAAACAGCTTTCCATCCTAAATGAATCTCAATTAATCCAGTTGTAACCGTACTCGCTACCAAACCTACCATAGCCCCAGAAAATGTTATTCCACTCATGGTATTTCGTTCATGAACAGGTACCCATCGTCCCAAAATTAAAGGCATTGCAGTAATTAAGATTCCACCTGCGAAACCTTGCATTATTCTTACTGCTAATAATGCACCATAATGAAAATCAGCACAAATCGGGGTGATTAAACTACCAATCATATTTATAACTACAGCCCCAAACCAAACCCATTTTACACTACTTAATTCTGATAATCTAGCTCCAGGAATCATCACTACCATGTAACCCCAATAATAAGAACTTAGAATTACACCTTGAAGTTCATTTGACCACTCGTACTCCCCTTCATTTAAATCTTTTTTATTCACTGTTCTATTCCCGCATGGACCTTCAATAATCTTACTAATATTTGAATTATTTCCATTCGTTCGTTTCACCATACGAACTATGGTCATTGCTATGTTTACTCTTATACCGTATAAAATAGCAAAACCAAGTGATGTTAAAATGACTACTGTTAATCTTAATGGACAACATTTCACCATTATTTAAACTTTAATTAATATTACAATAAATTTGAGCCATCAATTTTTGATTGACGTCAAAATGAAATTCATATATTTTAAATTTTTGATAATCACATTTCATAAATTGACAATGAAATGTCTTCCAACACGTTATACAGTAGTAATATTAACATCAGTGGGGTTAGGACTTTTATACGCACACCGAATCCACATAAATTTAACTATAGTGAGTATGGTGAATCAAACTGGTATCGAACAAAACCAAACTGGTGTTTGTTCGAATAAAACTCAAGAAGAAAAATCTCAAAAAAAGAATCACAAAGGTGAATTTACCTGGTCGAATTCTCTACAAGGAATAATTTTAAGTTCGTTTTATTGGGGATATTTAGTTGTAATGCTTCCAAGTGCAAGATTATGTGAATTATGTAGTGTTAAATGGGTCTTTTTTTCTGGTATGGTTTTAAACATAATTCCTTCTTTATTAATTCCGATAAGTTGCGAAATACATTATTACCTTGTTATTGCGATGAGAATTTTGCAAGGTTTTGGATCTGGGGCGACGATTCCCGCAACATCTTTAATTTTAGCACGATGGGTTCTAAAATCGGAACGAAATACTATGGCTAGTTTAACATTTTCTGGTACAACCGTTGGGATGGTTGTTGGTACTTTAGTTGTAGGAATTATCGATTCTCATTTGGGTTGGAAAAATGTTTACTACATCATCGGAAGTGCTTGTATTCCTTGGTTATTTTTTTGGGTTATATTTACTGCCGATTATCCACAACAAGCTAGATTTATTAAACAAGAAGAACTTGATTTGTTAATGTCCTCGCTGGAAGATAAACAAGATGATAAAAAAACTGTAATTTTATGGAAAAATTTATTCTTATCAAAACCATTTTGGGCGCTTTTTATGGCGCATGGTTGCTCAAATTGGATTGGATACCTTCTTATAACCGATATGCCAATTTATCTACATAAAGTTCATCTTCTTCGCGTAGATTTTATCACTAATTTCATCGCAATTGGAGGAACTTTAAGTTGGATATACAGTATATCATTTGGAAGAACACTCGATTATCTAAGACAAAAAAAGAATTTAAGCCAAACGTGGGCAAAAAGAACAGCAACTTTAGTCACATATATTCCAATGTGTGGTTTAACCATCGCCATGGCTTATATTGGGTGTAATTGGTTGGCAGGAACAATCATCTTAACTTCAATCATGGCGTTATTAGGAGGAGCTTCTTGCGGATGGTTATCGAATCATGTTGATATCGGACCTAAAATTGCCGCTACTCTTATGGCATTAACAAATACTGCTGGAACAACATCCGGGATACTTGTACCAATGTTTGTTGGTTGCATTTTAGGGGATGGAACCAATATGAAGTCATGGTTTGTTATATTTTGGGTTGCTGCTGGTTTCATTTTAATCTTAGTTGTTGTGTATGCCGTTTTTGGATCTGGAGAAATACAAAATTATTACATTGAAGTTGAATTAAGTGAAAATAATAAGTAATAAGACGAATCAAAAAAAAAATTTTATTTACCTAAAATGTTTTTGATATAAATCGTATGATTATTAAAAATTATCACCTAATATGTACATTTTTTTATAAATACACTTATTCACTTATAATGTAAGTCCTTAATAAGAAAATATTCTGCACAGGTTTTCTTAATTATTTCTTTTTCTTCTTAACACTCGCATCATTTCCATAGGAATAATGCCGATCACAGTCAAAGAGACTGCACAGTCAAAAATAAATGGATAGATCACAGGGTTTTATCTAAGCTGAAACCATCATCAGCAAGGTTGAGCTATCTCCTACCATTTTTCGTATTTGAAAAATAAAAATTCGCATTCTGTTCGCGTTTTTGGGCAAGTTGAGGTGTTAAAAAGTAAAAGTGAGTTCCCTCATCACCCGGAAGCTTATAAGTCACTATCGGTCGTTCAGTTTGTTGAATACGATAATTTTGATCTTCGTTCACCGGTTGAAGAATAAACTCAGAATGCGGATTCACACGTGGTCTTTGTGGCAAATAATTTATGTACGTATCACCTTCCAAACTGGGACGATTTTGTTTCACTTCTTGCGGACGTTGATAATATTTTTGCCTTTGAATTGGAATTGGTGTCGTTGCTAATGGAATTCTTTTGCCAAACACGGTGAAATATTCCTTTGTGGCATCGTCGATGAATTTTTCGTCATGTTTCGTGTAGAATTGATTGTAAAGTGGATTTTGGGTGGCTTCAAATGAATATTGTGAAATTGGTTTTGAAGTGCGATGTTTATTTCTTTGTACCTACATCAAAAATTTTAAATTAGATTTCTAAATTTACGATATATTTACATAATATTTGTAAATTTCAATCAGAAGTTGAAGAACTAGCCACAATAACGAAATTCCCTAATAGATAACGAATTGAGTTAGGATATCTTATGCTTTGTATACTTTACACTTTCTGATCGTGATCCAGCATTCTTGTATTGCTTAGGAGATTGGATTATGACAATCTTGAACTAATGGTGAGGTTGAGGTTAGGCATCAAATTGCAAGTGGAATGATTCTCTTCTTATGACAAACTTGGAGAATGTCAGCCTCAGTTGCAAAATTCTTTAATTAATGTTTATGTTTGATTGGGACTCAAATTACCCACCAATTAGTTCTCAACCCAACTCCAAGAATAATCAAATTAGGTTGTGACATTTTTAGTTTGCATATGAGGTTGGCTTGAGGCATTTTGAGCTTGCACTTGAAAATATTCGTTAAGGACAAGGTTGGGTTCAGAAATGTAGATAACATTAGAATAACTCAGTGCAAAATGGGAATCAAATCGGGTTGTTATTGATCTAAAAATGAGCGATCTCAAAAAATATTGATTGTAAGACGATGTTCTTTGGTTGATGATGAGGTTCGATTATAGCATTTATAGATCAAAGGATAAGAATTTCTCTTCTCTTTTGAAAACATTAATTTTGAAATGAGGTTGCGTAGAGAAGAATGTATTCAGAATGAAATATTCTCAAATTGCTTCTAAGATTGAATTGAGACATTCTGTTCGATGTTCGCTTAATGGAAGTGATGGCGAGGGAAGTGGGTGAGATGAGGGCAATGATGCGGTCTCTGGAAGGGTATTTTAGGGGGAAGGATTTAGAGGTGAACGTAAACAAAACGCAAAAGATAAAGTTTTGTGAGAGAAGCTTTGTAAAAGAAGGAAGACTGAGGATTGGAGATGGGAGGGGAAGTTGATCAAGGAGATGAGGGAGCACACATACTTGAAGTACAAATTGGAGGAGCAAATTGATGGAAGGAGCAAGGGTTATTAGAGGATGTGCAGACTAGATACTGGAAGAGGGTGTTGGGGTTGTCTAGGGAGACGCCGTGATATATAGTTAAAGAAGAAATTAAGATAGATATGGTAACGGTGGAGGCGGGTGAGCAAGTGGTGCGATTTGAAGAGGGTTGGCAGGTAAAGGCGTATTGTGCAATCTTGGGGGAATGTCGCAGACAGATTGACGCAGGACTGGAGGGCAAGGATAAGGATGTGAGAATGCAATAGAGATGAACTAAGATAAGGGAGAGTAAATATAACCCAAAATATGGGAAGATTGTAACAGAGAGGCTGCCGAAGTGCTTGATAGCGGAGGAGGATGATGTTGATGTGGTAACGAAGAGAAGGCCAATATTGGATGAAGGATGAGGAAGGCTGGAAGTCTTTAAACTATTTGCTGGTAGAGTGTGATGAGTTAAGGGAGGAGGTAATATACTGGAGTCAGGTGCTGGGGGAGAAGGTGCACAGAAAGAGATGAATGGGGAAGTGGTGTCAACTAGGAGACGTAGAGAGGCACGGGGAGGCTGAGGAGGAGGGTAGGATATATAGATAATATGGATATATCTGAGATATTATTATTATTATGTAAATTATATATTAACAGATGTGAAGCAACTGACCCAGAAGGGCCATTCATTAAACCTATTGGTCAAAGTGACAAAACATACCTCACGTAATTTTGCAGGATTTTCAGTTACAGGATCCAAATAATACCCTTCTTGAGTTGTCTCATAAATAGGTGTTGGTGGAGTGACTTCAACAGCTTCTTGAATTTCCACGCTATAATGCGGTAAAGGTCTCTTTTGTTGAATAGGCAAATAACCATTATTAAAATTATTTTGTTGTCTATACCCAGCCGCTTGAAATTCATACTCATACACAGGTTTGGATCGTTCAAAATAACCACTCGGTCTATTCCTATCGTTATTAACAATCCCATAATCACCATTTCTAATATTTTGATAGCTTTCAATTTCTTGTTTTAATCTCGCAATGTGAACGCTAAACGAATTCTGTGGTCGTTGTGGTCTTTTAATTTGTACCGGTTGCGTTCTAGATGGGAATTCAGATTCTCCTACATAATAATAACGAATATTTGATTGTGGGGGAACGTTTCGCGATGGGACCGGCGGTTGCGGTCGTTCAGGAATTAAAACCTCTTTCGGAATTGTATTAATAAACGGTCTGGGAGTTGTGTTAATAACATTCTCATCGTAAAAGTAATATTGTACTGGCGTGGCTCTTGTGGTCGTCGACGGTTCAAGTACGTTTTGAACGGGACGTACTTGTTGACGTGGAATAACCTGAATCACATTCGATTTTTGTGAATCCTGATTGGGTACGTTCACTTCGACGTTTTGTACTTGAGGAATAATTTTCGATTTTGTTACGTCGATGAATTGTTGTTGTCTCGGTCGTTCGGTTATAGGAATAATTGGTTCTAAATGTGTCGTTGCGTAATAAGTTTTAAGAGGAACCTTCGTTGATGTTACAATTACTTTTGGCGTTTCTGATGTAATTGGGGGCCCGAACATTTTCGATGGTAATTTAGAAGTTTTTGGTTTTATTGTACTTGTTGTCCTTGAAACCGGTTTTAATATAGTTATTGTTGGATATTTCTTCCTACTGGTTGTTTCTGTTGTTGTTGGTTTCTTCCTTCCAGAAACTGTTGGATTAACCGTTGTATTTGTTGGATAGAAATAAATTTTTGTTTTAATTCTTTGTTTTAAAGTTGTTGTTATTGTTATCGTTGGTTTAGGTGTTGTTGTTGTGATCGGTCTTAATGGTGGTTTTGATTTTGTTCTAGCACCTCCATTTTCGTTTAATGATTCAAAGAAATTTGGTGGTGGGGGAAGGATAATTCCAGGTACTAAAGGACCTGGTGGAACTTCCGTTGAGTTATCCCTCGCGTAATAAAAGCTGTATGGTGGTGGGTAATAAATCGATGGGTCATCTTCGTCGTAAGTTTCATTATCCAAATTAGGGATGAATGGTGGTAAATAAGAAGGAATCAAGGAATCGTTTACATTGCCAGGAATACCTTCCTTCTGTTGGATCGGATTGTGGCCATCCAATCCGGTGGGGGGTGGAAATGGAGGTATTGGGAACGGAGTTTCCCCGGTAAAAGTGTAGGGCGGATGTTTACCACTTGATGGTCGCTCTTTGATTCCCTCTCCTCCGATGACTTCATTACTTTCGGGGTATAAGGGATATATTCCTTCTTTGAACGTTCCATTAAGCGTTTTCGTAACATTTGGGCTAAGGAACAACAATATTGGTCCCCCTAAAAATATTTTATTATTAATTTATCTTTTCTAAAATTCATAAATAACTTAATTACCTTCTTCGAGCTGTACTGGAAAGGGCGGAGGAACCTTGGGATGAGCAGGAATCTTCACTTGACGATCAGGAGCGTTAAAATCGTCAATGGGAGTCCAAATAACATCCTTATTATCCTGATCATGATCGGGATAAAACCCACCCTTAATCACCAATAAATGGTTTTCAGATAACCAAATATCACTTTTATTTAATCCCCCCAAATTATTACTATTATCGTTAGGAACTTCAGGATTATCCTTATAACTGATGATACCCGGTCTTTTGATCGGCTTCGAAAATAATTCATTTTGAATCAACGCATATTTCCCGTCCGCAACCTGTTGAGATAAAGTTTTCTTTTCTTCGCCCCCAGTCTTTTTAGATTTTCCTTGGCCCTCACCAGCTCCGGAAGTCATCAGTTCCACATCATCATCGCGATTTGTGTTTAAATGTCCGCCGACCAGTTTATGGACAATTCTTAAACCGGATCTTTGATGTGGTTCTAATGAAACGAAGGTGATCAAAGAGAAAATTAGTACCCATCGTACGGAAGCTGATGTCATCTAGAAAAAAAATTAAATTATTAACTTGTTCTCTTTTTATTTTTTTGTGTTTGATAGAGAAACAATTCTCTTTTTACGATAGTTACATAAAGTGAATGGCACTCATGTTTAACGATCCAAGATATCAGGTCGGTAATAGGAAAAGTAGTGCAAAAAGGGGGCCCCACGCCCAAGTGAGATGGTAACCTTGAGGTTCGATAGTCACGAGCCCGGACCCGTGACCTATGACCCCACCAAGCTTTAATCGCCCAACCCACAATCGCGGATGTAAGTCAAATCACTTGTGCAACTCAAACAATGAGAGTTGGAAGTCTACAAAGGCTGCACTCGAATGCGTTTCGATGAAAAGGCGATAACTTCCAAAAGGCGATAAAGCGGAGAACATTTAAGTCAACTATAAATCGATTGTTACTTCTATTAAATGACAATAGAATTGTCTTTTATAAATAGATAGGTATGTTAATAACAAATTGCAAGTTATGACTACTTTGTAATCAAAATTGTTATTGCAATGATGCGGTTTTTTAAATAAAAAATTACAGAATTTCAAATTCATGTGGTGAATTATTAGATATGGATGAATCATCTTGATTACCTTAACTTCCTAATTGGAATTTTCTTAATTCTAATTCAAATCTTACTTTAATCTTTAATTTCATTTGTTGTAATGCGAATGATATGTTGTATAATTGTGACGTTTCAAATTATTAATTTATGAAATCATCTTTTTACATTTTCCATATATAATACAATGCGTGCAACTAAACCGTAAAAATCGGCGAGCGTAAAATTGCTGAAGAGAAAGCCGACATGGTATATACACACGATATAACAAAATTGAATAATAAGAATGATTTCATAAGATAAAAAAAATTACAAAACATTAAATTTAAAAATAGATCATACAAAAATTGTTCTTTATTATAAATATATCATCTAAATGTAAAGGCAAAGATACACATGATGAGATGAAATTTACAAAAGAAATTATACAAAGTTACTTCAGTCAACTAGAAAAAGATGTTTTGACAAAGCATGATACTCCAGCACCATAAGTGTAATGATTTGTGGAAATGGTGATTCCATATGCAAATTACAAGGCAAACCCTTTTGGGATTCTCAGACCAAAAATAAAGTTGGTCTAACACTAATAATCTGGAAGAATGATTATTCACAACAATGTTACCTCTATTATACAAAGAAGAAAGCAACAAGTTCATTACAGTGAGCAGCACAATATTGCCATACAATGGTACTCATCCAACACAGCTGTTTAATCTGACATACAGGGTGATTTATTAGCTCACCATCAAACTTTGACATATGATAGCTAATCCAATTACCAAAAAAAATGGTAATGAACATATAAAAAACTGTAAATTCATAGAGAGACGACCAATTACGTTTACGATTGTTACAAAAACAGATTGAAACATCCCAAGTCAGCAATTGATTGAATACTTGTAAGTGAGTTTTTCCAGTAGTTTCCACTTTCCGGACAAAAGCTCCTAATAGTCGTGTTTCTCTTAGGAGAAACTACGTTTCAACGCCCACAAAGTTCAGAAAGTGAGGCAGACACTTCTGACCACATGGAAATAATTGGCGACTCTGATTCTGAAAAGATTTTCTTAGAAGGAAAGAGTGATGAGGAATTATTAATAACGGAGAGAGCATATGTCAATTGTATATTGGCTTGTTATAACTTATGTTGGAAATGGCACGAAAAGGATTATTCATTTTTTTTATCATATTCAAGATTTCAAAGATCCAAGATATAAATAAGTGATTCTAGGATATAACCATGGTCTCACCAATAACACAAAACTAACATATGGTATACAGGAATTTGGGAATTTATTGAACAAATCTGTTAATACTATTCCAAGAAAAAATCCTATATTCCTTTTAATTCCATTTCTTAATTATCAACATCGAGTAACCGATCGCCTCCATCTTGTCAACTTTGATTAGGACAAAAATATTTGACCAAACTTCTAGCAATCATAACCCAAAAGTTAATGAAGCAAACCATCTCATCATTTGATTATTTCAAATCACTTGAAGTTCAATGAAGAAAAAAGATGGAAGTTGTTCCAAAGGATATCAAATTTTGAATACATAGTATGAGGTTGTATGAATCTGTACGAATTCTTTGATGCCATTGTAAAGCATTGAGAAATTTAAGTATTGAAGATTTTATCTGAGTTAATCGACTTCTTATAGCATTCAACGATTATTGGGTTGGGTTGGGTTGGGTTGGCTTGGGTAAAAAATTATTACCAACCAAAGTTGGGTTGGTGTAGAAAAACCCATGCCAAGCTCAAGAGAAATTGTAGTATTTGTGATGGCAGTGTTGGTGGCAATGTTGGTCGGCGTGCAAAACCTGAGTCTATCGAGAAAACATTAACTATATTTCATAACAGCCCTAGGACATCGAAATGATGTGCTTCACAGTCAGTTGAAATTAATCTGAAAACATCGCAACAAATTCTTATTTAAGATATTCAAAAACACACAAAATAGAAACAGTTCAAAACAAACAAGATTGACAAACAAAAATTTGATGTCAATATGGTTTAGTTTAACAATGAAGTCATCACTTTTCGTTCAATAGAGGCATGACTGCCTTCTGTGAGTCTTAATTCTCTTCTCGTTTGCATCTCGCTTTGATAACATTGAGGAATTTAATGTCTTTTTCCACGTGGTTCAAATATCTAGTCTCTATTTTAGTAATTTTTATTAATTCGACGATCTTTGGATCGCTGAATATAATTCAAACTTACAGCGTCGTTCCATCACTAGTCACAATTGACATCATTCGAAAGCTTATTTTATTCTGCATTCGAGAAGTTGCTAGAAATCTTGCGTTTTATTTGCTGGAAGAATCCTTTTTTGAAGAAGATCTCTTTTGACATGTTGTTATTCCAAGTGACCCTAGATATATAAATTGCTCTACAGTTTCGATGTTATTCTCTCCTATGGCCAAATTTTGCAGATGTCTTATTAATGATTTTGTATGCGCAATTTTTGTTTCATTTGTTTTTTTTTATTTTAGACCACTTTTATGCCCCGCTTTTTTTATTAGACTGAAGGCTTCTATCGTGGCTCTTCTTGACATGCAAAGACGTCAACAGCATCATCAAAGCATGCACGCTTTCGTTAATGATTGTTCCTCTGGTGTTAATAAACGCATCCCATATAACTTTCTCAAGTACATTTGTTGAAAAGTATGAATGATAGTGAATCATGGTATTATTTCGTTATGTATTCTTACTACATTTTTCATCCTCAGTGTTTCTTCTACTAGCAGAATTAGGCGTGTAGATATATTAAACTCCAGAAATTTACTGCAGATGATATCATAGGTATTCTCAAAATCGATAAAGACTGACTTTTCTGAGTATTTGACGTATTATACATAATTGATGATACTTTGAAATGAAATAAATAATGGATTTTATAAAAAGAATGTAGCGATTAAATCTTTAATGTTAAAATGTTTATTTACGACAGTTTACGTCAATATTTACGTCAAAAGGTGTTAACGGCGTTAATTCGGTATTTCCCCTCAAAAAAAAAACAAAAAAATTCCATTCCACTTAACCATTAAGATTAATAAGATTGAAACCGTTAAATTTACAATCATTTATCATGTTAATCTCTCAAAGTCACTAAAGAAACTCACAATGACCCATGTGTCTCGGTCAAGTTTCTATTTATAGACCAAGAAGAGATGTCCATAAAGAGATGCTGCATGGTAGCACAACCAAGCAGACGAGACGTTCAGGTTCATTTTGCGTAACGGCCGGTGCCGCATTCTACAAAGTTCAAACTCGATGAATGTCACATGCTGAAAAACCCGTTGATTCTTAACGAGAAGATGCAATCGACTTTTCTAATACAAGTTACAAAGAGAAATTGGTGTCTCTTTGCTTTGAAAGACCTTCAAAATCTTTGTTTCTCTCACCGAATAAAAAAATCCTAATAATAAAATTGAATCATCGTTAGTTACACAATTTTGTGCTAATTATACGAATGTTATTGCTCAAGTATTTTGGGGTTTGTTTGAATACTTAGGTTAATTAGCACTAGAAGTTGCTTCACTTGACCTGTCCTTGTTACCTGTGGGAGTTTTTAAGAGTTGTGAATATAATGGGTGTTGTGTCAATAATACCACGAGAACTTGTAGATAACTTTAAGAATTCTTTTACATTACAATTTTATTCAATGTTTCGTTTAGATGAGTTTCATCACATTAAGTATAATGTAATCAAAACTGTTTGATTACTCGCAAATATGTCAGTGTTGTAAATTATTGCTTCCATATAAAATTAAAGTTAAATAAATGGGTGACGAAATATAGGCTTTCTCTGTAACAAAACTATAATTGCTTTAGGAAAATTTAATATGAGCTTAAACGATCTTAGAAAGTGGTGCAGAGAAGAAGGAAAGCTATTTTTTTCCGTCGTCTTCATTGTTTGCGATATCGCGACGTTTTATGTTTACAGTTTGTATAATAGCGACAATTGCGTTTGGTGGGAACTAGAGAAAAAATCCCATTCAATATAGACGAAGTATTTCTTTTTCTCTCAAGACGCTCTTTAACGTTTTTAATTAGCACAAGTTAAGAGGACTTACGACAGTCTGTTTGTTAATGGTAACCTTGGTACAGTAAACCGAGATTTTATTTTTTTCGCAAATATATAATACATCATTTTTAAAAGAATCACGTTTAAGATTTATGGAAGTAATTGCAAGTTACAATAAAATTTGTCCTTTTAAACCGAGAACAACAATCTCGTTTATATCGGAATAGAGTAATTGATCTAGTATTTCTAAATGGACCAACTATTATTGATATAATTGTTTGGGAAACGCGAAGTAGTAAATTTCTCTTTACAAACTGGATTTCCTTGAAGTTAGTGCAAAACGAAACGTTTATGTAATAAGTAATAACGTTTCTATGAGAAATAAATAGATTGTAAAACGACAAATCGTTA